CTACTACTACTACTACTACTACTACTACTACTACTACTACTACTACTACTACTACTACTACTACTACTACTACTACTACTACTACTACTACGACTGATCTATGTAAGTTAGGAGGAGATAAAACAGCAGGAAGCCCCCAAATGCCTCCTTGGATGGATATGGATTGGGATAGCTCTGTATCCACACCTCCTTTTAGAACACTGACGGATTTTCTAATTCTGATTGGTGCTTTGCTAGCTTTAACAAACAAGCAAAGACAGCTAAAAACTGGTGCGTTCTATTCTACTCATAACCTGTTTGAAATCAATAGTCTCATTTCGAACTCGTACGTTCTGTAAAAGGTGTTGACATACCGGCCGTTACGTTACGGGACTACATCGAATGAGAGCTATAACAAAGGTTTTCCTCAAAGATTTACTTACTTAAGCAAAGCTGGAACATAAGTACTCGTAGATAATCCAGACGTTTCATAAAAATAGTACGTTACCTCGGACCTCAACTTTTTTATTCGATAATATTCCCCACAAAGGCATATGTCCACATATGATTTTAAACAAGATCAATGACACGTCTTGCAATTAAGGAAAATGAAACGACCACGTATTAAGCGCGATGGAGTAGGAATAATGAAACGAATCGAACATTTTAGACTTGAAAACTTCCCGTGATATTACTAGAAGATGTACCATACGAAAATAATTCACTATCATTTCATTTTCCATTCCGAGGATGTGAAGAAAGAAATACGAGTAGTCGTAAGCTTTTCTGAATAGTCAGAGTGATCACCACAATACTCTGTTCCACTCACGAGTCTTTCTCATAAAAAAAATCTGGATGCAAAATCAATTGAAAAAAGAATTCTTGATCGCAAAAATATGCGTACTTCTTTTGCTACCTCAGGAGCCCACCAGTGCACCAATTACAACGAGGAATCGAACGGTGCGCCTCTCATAAGATCGGCATCATCTGTAACGACACCGCTGAGAATGTCTCGACCGGTATTTCCTATTCCGCTGGCACAAAGCCAGTCGACTCAAAGAGTTTCCCAGGCTTACCGGCCATCCCCATCACCCACAATCCCAAGGTATCTTTTCGATGGAAGCATCGATTGCAGCTTTGATGACAATGCAACGGATATCGTCTGTGGTCACACCGAAAAGAAGACAACAGCAGATATAATCGACAAAGTGTTTGCTATATTGGAGTCACCGATGTAATCCGAAATCATCATCATTCATACGAGACAGGAAGTAAGCAGCTCCTCGAGAAATTTTGCATGCATGGCAAGACATTAGCCCCATAGACGACCGAGGAAGTACAAAGGCAGTCGTATCATGAAATGAAAGGTGACCGCAGCTTAACCTAAACCATTTTCTTTCACGGAGTGGCGACCAGCTTCTACTGCGATATTCGTGTCAGTTAGACCATTGGAATGTATAGTTGTAAATAATAATTTTGTTCATTCATTATTTGAAACCGCAGTTTCTTCACAAATTCTTTCGGGAGCTAGCAATGCTATTCATTATTTTTCCTTCTAGCCGTGGAGAGGCTGAGTTTAGTTTGCGACTCAGTTGTGTGAGGCAATACCACGTAGTAAATAACGAGTGCGTAACTCAGCTCATTTCGCAAAAAGCTGAAGGAGTAAGCGATGGATTCAGATAAACCTTATTCGTGGCTTGTCTCGCAGTCTCATTATTCGTCTTCGATTTTTCTATGGTCCCCATCGATTTTTCTATGGTCCCCAAACAACTATCTAGAAGGCAATCTCACTCTTCTCGCGGATGAAATCACCTTGATTTGATATGTACCGGGGAAATGAAGAATGAACAATTAGTACGTAATACTCGAAGAAGAACCTAACTCGGGTGAGAGACACGGGTACCTGTACAAAATTACTCATTCATTTTTTCCATTAACCTAACTCGGGTGAGAGACACGGGTATCTGTACAAAATTACTCATTCATTTTTTCCATTAGGCTAAGTAATTTTTATACGTACCGTAAGAACAAATTGGGTTTCATCGAGATGCGAATCGCATTTTTCAATCTACTTCCCTGAAATATTACATTAGAGAAGAATACTTCAAGATGAACAGATGGTTCATCTAATGGTTTGATAGAAATTGGTGACAAATGCTTGAATCAGGAGAGAAGAAGAATCCAAAAGAAGAACGAGGGAGAGACCAGTCGCTGTGGGTTGGCCGCTGATCAGGAAGAAAAGGATTCGAGCACGAGACGAAAACTCCATACAATCCAAAATGGCGCAATTATTACCGGAAGTACTACGGCGTTAATATTTAGAGGAAATAAATATTTACCTGTAGAACTGTACAGGGCCTGGCTGTTTTGCATCTTTTTTCCATTTTTGATTGGTTTGCTGATCTATTTTCAACCGTTAGTGACATCAGCAATTACTGTAGACTGTAGTCCAGCCACTTAGCCGGAATCAAGCTCTGCTTGTAAGATTATTCACTATCTACTCGTGATTGTGGTGTTTACTGTCTCACAAAACACCCTTTCACGATTCACGAATGCTTGACGTCGCTTGCATGTACGAGTACCCTACCAGGTTCGTACCGGTACGTGTACGAGTAATCTTCATCCGACAATATCTTTGTTTGTTACTATCGATCGGCTGCTCCATTGGGTCGTCCGGAATAATTAAAACATCTTTCGAAGCAAAGGAGGTTGATGTCGAAATTGGAATACAATGCTGCAGGAAACATCATCGTCGTGCCGCCTATTCCATCCATAGAGGGAACGCGACGACCCGAAGCATTTTTTCGATCCTTCCCAGAATCTGAAGCAGGACAAACGATGCTCGGCAACGAAGAACACGGTGCTGCTCCGAAAGAGCAAGAGCATTCCAGTAGCGATTTTGTTTTAGACTTTGAGCTTCCAAAGATCAACATCTGCATCCTGGTTGTGGGGACCCATGGGGATGTACTTCCATTCTGCTCTCTTGCCAAGGAACTCCTGGACCGCGGACACAGGGTTCGTCTTGCCAGCCACGAAATCCACCGAAAGACGGTGGTGTCCAGGAACATCGAGTTTTTCCCGCTTGCGGGTGATCCAAAACAATTGAGTCAATGGATGTGAGTGTCTCAATGTCAATTTCAATGACGATGTCAATACCATTATCGATGGCGTTGTCGATTCTATTATTGGTGTTGGTGCTGTTTGATTCTATACTGAGTTTCGCATCGGAACGAATTCAATCCTTAGGAACGACGCACCACCCGCTCACCATTGCCATCGCTAATCTGTTGTTCGCTTGGTTGCTTGTTCGAAACATGCTCCTCCATCTTAGGGTGAAAACCGGAGGTACAATCCTCGGCGAGGCGTCCCACCCAGCGTTGCTCCCCGAAAAGGACAAAATGGTGAAGAACATCATGAAATCTTGCTGGCCTGCCGTCTCGCAACCTGACCCATTTAATCCCTACGCCTTGCCTTTTGTAGCGGACGCTGTTATTGCGAATCCACCGTGCATGGGACACATCCATGTCTGCGAGGCCCTGGCGATTCCCCTTCACATTATGTTCCCTCAACCGTGGTACTACAAAACAGACAGCTTTCCACACCCAATGAGTGGGTTGGGCTACGAGGAGAAATCCAATAAAATAAGTAGCATTTCCACGAATGCTGCGAGTTATTACGCCTTTGAAGCCCTCGTCTTTACAACGCTGAGTATGGAAATCAACAAGTGGAGGAAGAACATCCTTGGTTTGCCGCCAATTCCTCTCGGACCAACCTTTGCCAACCCTGTCGCCGATTCCCACATCCCATTTAGCGCCATGTGGTCATCATCATTTGTTCCAAAACCAACAGACTGGCCCGACCAATGCCGCGTCGTAGGTACCTTCACGCAGGACCAAAAAAAGGCCAGTCTCGTCGACGAAGAGAAATTTGCGGATCTTATCCGATGGCTACAACAAGGGGAAAAGCCAGTCTTTATTGGTTTTGGGAGCATGGTGATCAAGAATACCGAGCGGCTGCAAGACATCATAATGAAAGCGGCTAGGGTGACGAAGACAAGGATTGTAGTCCAGTCGAGCTGGAGCAAAATGGACGTCTCTGCCGAACCCCTCTGCCACAATGTTGGGCCGGTTGCCCACGACTGGCTGCTCCCCCTGTGCTGCGCAGTGGTTCACCACGGGGGAGCCGGAACCACCGCGGCCGGCCTCCGGTACGGGCTACCAAATTTTGTGTGCCCCTTTTTTGGTGACCAGTTCATGTGGGGGGCAATGGTGTACCGAGCGGGAGTTGGTCCCGAGCCCTGTCCGGTCGACACCCTGACAAGTGATATTCTGGCCCAAAAACTGGTAGAGCTGACCAGCGAGTCCATCAAGCAGAAGGCTATAGAGCTTTCTGAGAGCATGTCAAAAGAAAACGGCGTCCACGCGGGCCTAGCACACTTTTTCGAGTCCCTCCCGATTGACAACATGGTATGCGACGTGAGCCTCATCATGGGCGAATCGGCGCTCGCAAAATACTCGATCGCCCGCAACCGCATCCACATTTCCCATGAGGTAGCGAGCGGAATCGCCACCAAGGATGGGAGCGACAACCTCATCCCCACCACCGACGTCGGGATTGCTCGCCTCTGCCGCCGGGCCCTGACCTGCTGGACGTCGCCCCTGGATCCAGATCAAAACGAGATATTCCGACCCCACGGCAAAACAACCTACGCTCTAGGAGCCAACGACAGCAGTTTTTCTCGTGGTATGTTCGGTGCTTGCTCCGAGTCGAGCCGAATCGCCCTGCAGGGTATCCTACAGTGCTGTCTCCGACCGGACAAGCTGGCTAGATCAAACGGATGCCTCGGGTGCATCTTCGGGGTGGTGCTTTGCCCGATATACACCCTCCTCTATCTGATCCGATCTCTGATCGTGTGCATCGATCGGACGGTGCTAGCCTACGCCAACGGTTGCTTCGGGAAGCAGTGGTTGTATTTCATCGATGACAGAAAGTACGCGTTTTACACGCAAACGGATTCTGGGGAGGTCTTCTACGACCAGGATATGGACGAAAACCGGCGTGAAGACATACTGAAGGCGCTGAAACTGTCTCGATCCGCCCTCTCGGTGTTCCACGAGGCCAAACCAAGGTTCTTTCGAAAAAAGTGGCACTTTCTGGAAGTAGAAACGGAAGACCTCCTCGATGCTCTGAAAGGCAGGGGCGGATCCAGGCTCGGCCTCCAAAAGGCGGAACTAAAGGCCCTTCTCCTGCGGCTCGAGGCCTACACGGGCCGGGGAAAAAAAGGACAGCGCATCAGCGCAAGCCGGTTCTGCCTCTTTCTCGGAGATGCCGTCCGGGCGAGGTTCCAGAATCGCAACAACAGCTGCATCGGTATGGAGGAAGAGAGCGGCGAATGCGAGGGCTCAGGGATCACACCCAAACTCTCGGAGAGGCTGAAGGCTTCCTTCCATAGATCAATGCGGGAACAGTTCGACATCGAGATGGGGGAACCCCTATCGACCGTCGGCGCAGAATTGTGTTACGAGGAATCCCAGTGCTTGACCGTGACCGTTGCAATAGACATCAACGAAGAGAGCCACGAGGCAAGCGCCTGATGTCGATAAAGAAGAATCGAATCCAATCGATTTGCTCCGAGATTAAAATATTCTGGTCTAAAAAGAAATTGAGTTTTAGTCTCTCCCTAGAACCCACTTGCCCAATGTGCTTGGTTTTGGGACACGTGCGGGTCCCTTGCACACATTAGGCTGTTATCTATGATTGTTGTTTTTGTCGACGCCCGGCCTTTTCGACCGGGGCACGGAGACGGCAAACCGGGTGCTGTGTCTGTTTGTTCACTGCTCTTTCTTTTCGCCCGCCTCGGCGGCTTTCGCCGGGGTGCCACCGGCAGCCCCGAAGAGCTCCAGCTGCTCCTCGCTCCACTCCCACAGTCTCCCGGCGTCTCGCTCCCCGGCGGGCCCCCTCACGTAGCCGTGGGTGTTGGTGGATTCCCTGCAGTTCACGACAAAGGACCCCCTGGACCAGTAGTCTCCCAGCTCGGAAAGGGGGGCCCCCACCACCTCCACGGTCGAGTAGGCCCCCTCCTCGGGGGTTTTCGACAGCGACGCGACGATCCATCCAAAGGCCGTGTTTCCCAGCCGGTAGTACCAGTTCATGTTGGAGGTCACGTTGGTCCGAACGATGCCGGGGTGGACCGCAAAGACGGCGAGCGCACGGTTGTGGTTCTTGTCGTTGTACCGCCTCGCCAGTTCCCTGGCCGTCAGCAGGTTGGCGAGCTTGGTCATGGAATACTGGCCAAAGAGGGTGTAGGCCCGTTTGCCCTTGCTGCAATAGGGGTCCTCGAAATCAAAGCCCCCGGCGGAGGCCGCGAATTCGTAGGTCGACGAGGTGAGGAGGCAGACGCGGCTCGGTTCGCCGGTGCCTCCCTCTTCCACGGTCGTCTCCAGCATTCCGCTTTCGAGCATCAGTTTCGTCAGCAAAAAGTGGCCCAGGTGGTTGGCCTGCATCATGGTTTCCAGGCCGTCCTTGGTTTTCGATTGGGTCCCCATCATGAGTCCTGGGAGCGGGTGGTGCACACGGGCCAGAGAATGCGGTGCACACGGGAAAGGAACGCAAGCGTTATTAGGGCAACGCGGACCAAGGGAAGACACCGGCGAACAAAAACAAAAACAAGAACAAGAACAAACGTTGGTGAGCCATTCGCCGTGCACAGCGGGTCCGGGTGCAAGGGCCACTGCCACCGGCACCGGGGCGTTTCCGTCCCCGTCCATTGGAAGTTTCGTCCCTTCCCAACACCGAACCATTGGAGATAGTTGCACGAGACAAACTACAGCATCCAAACACCAAAAGCACGCACACACACACACACACACGCACCGGCGTTGCACACCAGGGCATCGACGCGGGCCCGTTTTTGGGGGGACGACCGGAGGTCCAGGTGCTGCCGGATGGCCCCCACCGCCCGGTGGACCGAGGAAAAGTCCGTCAGGTCGATCGGCACAAAGACGAGCTGGTCCTTGCGGACAAGGGGCGTCCGGCCCCCTGAATCGTTGGCGGAAGCGACCGACTGCTCCTCCAGGATCTCCCTGGCCGCGTTCTTGGCCCGGACCGGGTTCCGGCAGAGCATCGCGACGGTCGCCCCCTGGGCCGCCAGGAGCCGGGTGGTCTCCCGGCCGATGCCGTTGTTGGCCCCCGTCACGACAAAGAACCTTCCCTCCAGGCCAAAGGGCCCGGGGGGGGCATCGACCCCGACGACCGCCGACCGGCGGGTGTCCAGGATCCAGCGGAAGGCCACCACCGCGAGGCCAGCCGCGCAGGCCAGGGCCGCCCAGGCCAGGCAGCCCCCGGGATCGCCGCGGTCGATGTCGATGTTGTCGGTGTTGCCGCTGTTTGTGTTGCTCTCGCAGGCCCCGCAGGCGGCCCCGACCCCGATCGCAACCAGCCACGAGGCCACCACCAGGAGCCACCGCTTTCCCATCGCCCTCAGGGACGGCCCGTGCGACCACGGGATCTCGCGGTAAAAGGCGTAGGAGGACCAGACGATGGCCGCGTAGAACAAGGCCACCAGGGGAAGGAGGGAGACGGCCGCCGCAACGCCGGAGAGGCGGTACAGGGCCTGCGGGTCTCCGTGGCAGAACATGGTCGGATGTCTTGCTGTGGGTGGGTTGGTTGGTTGGCTAGTTGGTCGTTCCGACTGGTGTGGTTCGATCGGATCGGATCGGATCGGATTGGTGTCGAATCGTTTGGGATGCGTCGTATTGGGTCGGGTAGAGCTAACCCGAGCCGAGCTGAGAATGTGTCGTTGGTTTCGGCGCAAAAGCCGGGACAACACTTTTTTAAAGCAAGTCAAGGAATAACGTTGTGTACGAGTACGAAACAGTTTACTGTATGAATGAAACGGTACGGTACGTACGTTCTCGTAATTCGTACCTGCTGAAAGATACGAACGTAGGCGGGAACTCCGGCCGAGTCGACAATGACGCGACGACGCAGGAATGTTTGCCTGTGGCCTGGTAGTCAGAATAGATTAGATCGATATGACTCCACAGAAATGTTAGTACATAATCCTTTTAGGTATAGTAGGTACGTATACACCATACCTACTTCCCAAACGACACAAGACACACGAAAACTGGTTCACCTTCACCTTTCACCCCAACATGAATCCGAGAGACGACAAACAAAACAAAACTCGCAACAGAGCAACCACCACAGCATCTCCGCTTCTTGCTCTGGCTGGAAACGGACGACACGATCGATCGATAGGGGACAGCCCCCCTTCTAGTACGATACTCACCGACCCGGGTTTCGATAGCCGATAGCTTCCTCTGTTTGCCGCAATGGCATCGTCCCGGGGCCTCCCTTCCCCGCCGCCGCAGCCGCCGCCGGCCGGGGGCACCCCGCAGTCCCACCGGATCTACTGGCAGCAGCGGTGGCTCGGCGGAAGAATCTCTGGCACTTCCCGCGGCAGCAGCAAAAACCTCATCACCGGTTCCGCCGCCGTCAAGATCTCCCCGACCGCCCGGGCCCGCGACCTGAACGGGCTGCTGCGGAAGACCCTCCACCTCGGCGATCCTTCCGGCGACCAAAGCAGCGGCAGCGGCAACGGCGACGCCCTGGTCCTGGTGGGAACCCTGCGGTCGGTCCCGGCCGGCTACGTCCGGTTCGAGCACGAGGAAAAGGACCTCCCGGCGGTGTCGGGGGGCAGCGGGGAGGACTTTCACGTCGTCCGGACCCTGGCCGGGGACGAGGCCTGCCTGTCGGTCCTCTCGGAGATGGAGGACCACCTGGGGGGCCGGCAGCGCGCGATGGAAGAGGGAGGGGGGGGCGGCCGGGCGCGGCCGACGATCGCCCCCCAGACGCGGTGGTACTACGTCCCGAGCCTCTCCGGGCCGGGAGCTGGGGCCGGCAAAGCGGCGGCGAACGCGACGGCGAACGCGCCGGTCATGTCGAGCTGCCTCGAGCTGGACGGGTACGTGACGTCCCTGGAGTCCGACGACGATTCCGACGATTGCGATTCGAGCGACGACGACAACGACAACGACAACGACGACCACCACCAAGGCTCCGGGGAGCTCTCGGTGGAGCGCGCGGGCTGCGACGAGGACCTCCTGCGGCGGGCCCTGGCTCCGTTCGGGGACGGCGAGCGAGACCATGGTTCCGGGGGCAGCGGGGGGGCAGCGAAAAACGCCCGGTCCGAGCGGAGGATCGCGAGGGAGTGGCGCCGGTACCTGCGGATCTCCCAGGCCCACGCGCACGGGAGCCACGCCACCGTTTCGAGCGACAGGCCGACCGCGGCAGCGAACTCGTCGTCGTCGTCGTCGTCCTCGTCTCCCACCCTGGCCGGGTACCTGCTCAAGCGGTCCGCAAGGGACCCCCACGCCTGGAAGCGCCACTACTGCATCCTCACGGAGGACGACCTTTGGTGCGTCCCGCGGATCGTCCGGGACGGCGAACGGGGGGACGCCGGACACGGCCCGCCGGTCCTCCGGACGATCGAGCTCGCCCGCCGCCACGGCCGGATCCGCCTGGTGGACGCCCGCCTCCTCCCCGACCGCCGGGCCAGCGGGCACCGGGGCGACGGCTTCGACCTCGTCGACGGGAGGGGGACCACCCACCGGTTCCGCTGCCGGGCCCCCGGGGACGACCAGGCGGACGCGTGGAGGGAGGCCCTCTCCGTACGCTGCCGGGACGCCTTTGCCAACGCGCTGGTCGCCCACGCCGAGCTCATCCTCACGGAGGAAACCGTCGCCCGGACCGAGCGCTGGAGGGCCTTCGTCGGCGGGGAGGGGGGCCGGGGGGCTGCCTCCGAGGCACGCAGCGGCGGCGGCGGCGTCCCCCGGGGGGCCCTCCTGCACTTTGGCCTGGACGTGGCCGAGTACCGGGAGGGCTGCCGGCAGATCCAGGCCCTCCTGCTCTCCGCGCCGTCCCTCGCGACGGCCCGGACCCGACGCCTGCTGGGGGAGCTGTGGGCGGACGCTTCGGCGCTGCTGGAAACCGCCAACGGGATCCTCGACCGGACCCGCCGCAACCACGGGAACCACGGCCCTTCGGCCGCCACCCAGGGCCTCGACACCATCTGCGACCACGTCGGGTACGTGATCACCCGGCAGCGGAGGCGGAGGAAGCCCCCCGCTCGGCCGGAAGGCCCTTGGGCTTTGCCCTCGAGCGAGGGGGGGGACGCCCTTGCCTGCCCTTCGGGGGAGTACCCCCACCACCAGAGAGACCCGCCGCCCATCGATCTCTTCGATCACCTCTGGAGCGAGCTGCGGACCCTGGCCTAGGAATCGCGCACGCCGACCCACCCGCAGCGGCGAGCGCGAGTGCGTGGCGCATCCTTCCCCGGACCGGCCGTGAAGCACCCGCGTTGGTGTTGGGGGTGTTGGTTCGATCGGATCGGATTCGATTCGATTTGATTTGATTTGATTTGATTCGATTCGATTCGATTCGATTCGATTGGATTGGATTTCGCGGTAGTAGCAACAATGCTGGTGGCATAACATATAGATCCAAACCAAATAGTCAGAAAAAGGAAGGGAATATACTGGTAACAATCTTCCTGTATATCATGCATGAAATTACATCAGGACAACTATTAGTACTAGCTGTGTAGTAGTACCAGTAATCAGTTACACTACTCGTTGGATACTGTATTCCTCTCATTGCTTCTTGTTGGTTCCTCTTTGTTGTTGCGTCCAACCAATTCACTGCCATTGGTCACAACTACTGCTGGTAGTAGTAGTATTAAATAGCATCGCAGTGACGATGAGGGCCATTCTCCCCTTTCACCTGATTACAAAGATGCCCGAGGAGCTCTTGAATATATTTTCATCTTGCTACTACTAGTATGCAATGAGCGAAGAACAAGACGAAAAATGTCATACAAGGAGAAGGATAATGATGTTGAATCCATTCCACCAGCAGTACTACTGGTGGTAGTTGTATTACCTTTAATATGTCTCTACTTGTAATACGAAGTACTGTAGTACTTACAAAACAACAAATGGAAGTTTTATGAAAGAGAAGAATGTTCCTCCCTCCAGCCATCCTTGAGGGGTTCTGACGAGACTCAACGAGAGAAGAATTTTCGGGAAGCAAAAAAAATTCCCGACACCAAATGTTCGGTTCATGTCACCCTCTCCGGATTATGCCCCTTCCATTTTTCTACTGTAAAGTGAGATTGTATGGTGCGAAGATGTAAGGTTCACCCATGTATCGAGAAGACGAAATTCTGGCACCGTTGTCACAGCAGGAACCCACTACCGGAATTAATCTTCAACTAAGGACAACGAACCAAAGAACAGTTTTCGGGCCTTCCCGTATCCAAAAATTAATACGGTAATGCGATCAAAAGCAATCGTGCCAAATTTTGGGAAAATACCGGTAGACAATTCGTTCAATCTCTTTTTAGTTTTGGAAGTAGCAGGAATCTAACATACGTACGTAGTACTAATATCTAGAGAAGATTTCTTATTGGAAGCAACACTCCTATCCGCAATCGAGATCGTAGCTGCGAGCTCCTAGGAGTAAACGTATTCCTACGCTGCCGTACGAAGTACAGTACAGTTGTAGGCCCTGTTGATAGAACTTCACCGTCGAAGATATTTTTTCATAGAAGCACAATTCTGTACCGTAGTTGCATAACGGTACATCAAGAGCAAAGAGTATTCATATCAAAAGTGATACTGTACTGCACGGCAACAGCGAGGTGTCACAGAACCTCTGCAGGCGTGTTCTTGAAAGCATCCTTTCCGAATTTGATTTTGAACCCCTCAGAAAGGGGAGAGACGAGACGGCCTTCGTAGCCGTCGACATCAGCAAAGTCCATGAAGCAAAGCCATGAACAACAAAGAGGACAACGAGATTGAAACCATCGAGGTTGTGTCGTCTTCCGCACAATCGGATAACAGACTAGAGACAGCTGCGGCGACAGTTGGCTTTGACGACTCGTTTGCTTCTAAAGAGAAGGACATCGCCAAATCAGAAACCGGCACGACGACTGTAAATTCCACCAGCGAAATCAAGCGCGCAAGATTCGACGAGGGGAGAAACGAGCTTTTTGAAAGCGAAGACACAAAGTGCAAAGGCGAAGACGAAGACGATGATACAAACGAGGCGTACGATGAACAAGACGACAACGGCGATAATTTTACCGAAATACCCGCTCCCTGTGCCAGTGCCTTTATGGATTGGTACATCAACAGCAAACCGCCGCATCTGGACGATCCGCTTCCGGATTGCAACGACCCCGACGATATTGAATCGTCCGGAGGAATGATACAGCAGTCCGTTTATAACAGTGGAGGAGCAGCCCCGGAATCCGTGGCCGCCATCCGAACGTTCGTGGGGCCCTTCAATGATTCTTTGGCCGTCAAGTTCCGCAGACGAAGAGATCGCCATAGCGAGATGTGGCGCGGGCACGTCAAGTCTTATGGCTCTACTAGCTATAAGAAATTAGACTCGCCTGTTTGTAAGTGATGAGGGAGAAAAAGAAAAGAAAAACCGAGGTTGTCGATTATGCACATGGCCATTCGTCTGTGACAATGCTCCGTGGCTCGCGGTGTTCTAACGTGTGTTGCTCAATTTTTCATTTGCTCTCTATGCCCTCAGACCAGCATTACAGCTACCAGCTTGCGAATCGCTACAAGGAAGAGAGACAGCAACACGAGGAACATCTAGAGGAAATGAGGCGCCGGTCGACAATCGTGTTACCAGCACCACCCCAGAAGAAACGAATCTTCGCGGGATTGGCCCGCTGGCTAGTGGCCTGCCCATCGGCACGGTCCAAGACAAAAAACAATCCCATCGGAACCTACCAGCAGGAAGTTCGATATTGGACCAGGTTGATTCTCATCTTGTTGGGTCTGATTATTTCGGCCGTAATTTTCATCATCAAAAAATTATCCGACTTTTTGCTAGAGACCAAGCTGAAACTCGTTACAGATCCGGTCCTGTTCGGAAACACGACCGCGCACGACGAATCCTTGCTCACCACAGTAGCCAATGCGGGTAAAAAACCACTCCCCGTGATGGGATACTTTGGATGGAAGGCCTTTGCATCCTTTCTAGGGTTCAATCTGTTCTTTGTAACAATTGCTTTTATGCCTGTGACCTACCGCCCATTGAGCGGTGGAAGCGGAATCGCCGAGGCGAAAGCGACATTGAATGGTACGTATTCTGTAAAGCAGGGGGATTCAAACCACTTTTGCTGGGAGCTTTTTCACGGATCCATATCTAACAATGTTCTTTGTCAACTTGGACCGACTAATCCCGCAGGAATCATTTTGCCTACCTGTACCGACCTATTGACGGCCTTGTGCAAGGCAGTTAGTGTAATTTGTGCCGGTGCAGCCTCGCTTCCGATCGGATTGGAGGGTCCGCTGATTTTTATCGGTCTAGCGATCGGACACAACGCCGAGAGATTCGTTCCGGAATCCTATCCGGTTCTCAAACTAGACAATTGGAAGCGAGACTTTGCTGCGGTGGGATGCGCGTGTGGTGTGGCGGGCGCCTTTCTCACTCCCATTGGGGGTGTTCTCTTTGCCATGGAAGAAGGAGCAAGTTTTTGGTCACCCTTGCTGGCATGGAGGTCATTTGCAGCGGCTTGTGTGACAACCATTGCTCTGTACCTCTATATATGGGTTTGGGATATTTGCGAGGACGAATATGATGGTGTGCACTACGATTCGTTCTTCGACATCCATACCCTTGCTATTTATTCTGGTCTAGAAGGCCAACGGCAATTGCCACCCAATGGAGTGGCGACGACTAGTCAAGAGGTTGTCGGCAACCAACTCTACTTTCGAAGCGTACCAGCCTTTCGTGTTTGGGATTTTTTCTTCTTTGCCATCATAGGAATTGTGGGAGGTATTGTAGGAGCACTATGGATCGAAGGAAACTACAATATAGCCCAATGGCGTCGAAAGCTCGGGTGGGGCAGAAAAGGGAAATTTCTTGAAATCATGGGGCTTACCATTTTGGCCTCTTGCGTGTTTTGGTTCCTTCCATTGCTCTATACAAAATGCAATGCAGCGAGCCAAACCGACGTAGAAGATAGGGCAATACTCAGACAGTTGAATTGTCCCGATGGATACTATAACCAGCTCGGAACACTGTTGTTGAATGGCCCGGGGCCTGTTGGCTTGAACCTTCTCTATTGGGAACCGGCGCACAACTGGGACCCGGTGGTCCTTATCCTTGCGGGATTTTCTTATCACGTTGTCCTCTTGCTTCTGTTCGGCTCTAGCATCTCAATGGGCGTATTCATTCCCTTTCTGTACATCGGAGCGTGCTACGGGCGAGCATTCGCCATTTGGGGCCTGGCCGATGTGGGAATCGACAACGTCGAGCGCGATCCGATTGTTTCCACGTACACCATGGTCTGCTCGGTTGCCATGCTAGCTGGGGTGGCTCGTGTTCTGATTTCCATCACGGTCATCATGGTGTGTTCGGTGGGCACGACATACATGATCACGCCATTCATGGTTGCCTCACTCTTTGCCAAGGTGGTCGGGAAGGCCTTTCTCGGACGCCCGGGTGTGTACGACGTCATACTCGAAATGAAGGTAAGTCCATTGCACGCGCACCAACTCCACGGGCACGAAAAAGAAAAGCTCCAAACACCAAACACATTATGCTCCCGTTTCTCACCATTTTGTCCATCTCTGTGCACGCCTTTCTCCTTAGGGCATTCCGTTTCTGGAAGCCGAGTGTCCCAACAGCATGATCATGCGGGGCCTGTGCGCTCAGGACATCATGTCCCGTGCCCCCCTCATCACCCTCGAGCCCGAGCAACCCGTAGGACAGCTCCTCGAGTACCTCGAAAAGTATCCCTACGTCGTGGATTATCCCGTGGTCGACCCGAACTCCAACGGGGTCTTTCTGGGCATCATCCAGCGCTGCGATCTCCTGGCGCTCCTGACCAAGCGGAGGCTGTTCTACGATAAATCAAAGGGATCCACCGGCCACCGCAGGGCGGTGACGTTCGAAACCCTCGTCCGGGAAAAGGTCAAGAGGGTGCCCGTCGATCTGGACGATGTCAAGGCCATCGTGACGCCCGGGGACCGCGCCCGAAAATTCTTGAACGTGACACCCTACCTGGCGATCGGCCACTACACGGTCAACCGCTTCGTGACCGTCCACCGGGCCTTTGAGCTCTTCCGATCCCTCGGATTGAGGATCCTGGTGGTCACGGATGCCTTTGGTAGGCCCATGGGGGTCATCACCCGATTCGACCTGAAGCTGCTGGAAGAGGTTGGCATCGACGAGGCGTACTACAAGAGCCGGCACGACAGCATGGAAGGTTCATATTCATATTTGGACTGAGGGCGGCGAAGGGTCTGGACGCGCCAGGAGTTCGACCGGTTGCGTTGCTATGCGCTACACTTATGCTATTATTTTTGGTCGTTCTCGCAGCCTCTGTATAAATTAATGTCATTAGGGTGAACTGTGTGCGATAATTCTTCTGGCGAAAGCAGTGTGCACTCCAACAACGATCTATGAAATCTCTTTGATTGCCTGTTTGAACTTTCGTTTTGTTTTCTATCGTTTGAAGTGTATTGGGTGCAGTATGGTTACCTCCATAAATCTGAATTCTTCTGCGGCATTCTTGTCTCACACCATGCATCATACTAATAAAAAAATGCGTCACTGTGGTGGGTTATTTAAGGAGGTGTGGTCCAGAACCAAATGACACTACCATACGTGTAGAAAAGTACTTGGTCCTGGTCCTACAGCGATCCAATAACTAATATTATTTGAAGTGTCTTCGGGGGGTCCCGAATGGTTGCCCCTGTAATTTCTGAACTCTTCTCTCGTTACGGAATAGCTTGCTCTAGTGCAAGCTTCTGTCTGTCGCCGAGGCAGGGCGCCGCAGCTTGGGCCGTGCTTCCTGTGTTCTATCGTGCCTTGCTTTCGTCCGCCACCTTGCACACAATCCTGGCCTTGCCGGCGGCCTCGGGGGAAGCCAGCACCAGCAACCCGTTTTCGTTTTCGCCGTCGCCGCCACCGGTCAAATCGATCGTTGCCATTTGCTCCAGGTAGGTCCCGAGGTACCGTTCCAGGGCCTGGCGCTCCTTGTCCCGGGGCATCATCCGGGTGCTCATCACGGGGCCGACGCGGATGCTTCTGCAGCTTTCGGCGTCGCCGCCGCAGCCCAGGAACTCGACGGTCGCGCCCATGGCGTTGGAAACCTTGACGCTCAGGTGCAGAAGGTTGGGGTTGGGGGGGCCGCGTTTTATGGGCGAGAGAGTGAGCTCAAACGGGCCGCGGCCTTGCGGGAGCGGCAGGGGGGTTCCGGTTTCGTCAATGATTTCCTCCAGGTGGTAAACCCCGGCGTAATCGTCGGGGCGTTTTGTTGCGGCTGCGGCCATGGCAGCGCGGTTTCCGGAGAGGGACGAAGAAACAAGGATTCCGGCGGTGACTGCCACGGCGAAAAGACGACGGAAGAAAGAAAGTCCCGGCATCGGTTGATGGGATTTGCTGGTCGCGGGGAGTGCGAATCAGTCAATCGTGCAATTCGCTGGTCTCCTTTGTTCTAGGCTTCGTTTTGCTGGTGCCCTCGATGCCCAAGCAGCTAAATGTAGAAAAAGTTCAATGGTGTTTCCTCCGAATGGTCGCTGACAACAATAGATGCGGGGACCAGTTACTTGTGTGACTATGATACCTTGGGTGTTTCTGGATGCTTGGATTTTCCGTTGAATTTAGTCGTGCCGCTTGGTGGAAAATTGAAAATAACTTTTTGTATCTCTCCGTGCTGTAAGTACGGACTGTACGGTACGATACCCTATTACCACAGTGCTGGGGGGTTGCGGCTCGGGGAATAGAAGAACTCGTTTCGACTAGGAGTTATACTTAACATGGTGGCGCTACGCTACAGTATGTATCCGTAGTAATCGTACGCAATCGTATTTCAACCATCAAACGTTGTCATACGGTAGCTTTCAACATTATCGCACGGCACGAACCGTACTTCTTTGCTGTACATTAGCTTAAGGCATCATGCGGGGTACAAAATTACAAGACATTTTTTAGGAATATTATGGATTATGATACTGTACAGTGCATCATCTTCCTGATACCTGCCGTACGAGTTGCCATTCCAGACAACTGGGGTTTTCCTAGCGTTTTAGCTCTTAGCAAATAGAATGTATGGGATGCAAACCATGTGTAGGGATCTCTGGGTATCTCCGACGTGCTTGGGACTTTTCGGTTTCACCGCTGCCGCTTCCCCATGGCCCAAACTCCCCCCGCCACCGCCAGAGCCAGCACGAATTCCGCCGGGAGACCTTTCGTCGCCGCAACCGGCGCAAAGGTTTGCGGGGCTGCCCGGGTGATCCGATGCGTTCGCGGTGCAGAGGCACCGACAAAGACGGACGACGAGGCCTTTGGCGTCGCCGAGGATTCTACCACCACCGGAGGCGCATCCGGTTTTGGTTTCCCGTAGTTCACGTAGTCGTTCATGCACGTATCGTCTTCCTCCTCGCTGTTGCTGTGGTTCCCGTCGATCCGGTTGGAAAGTCCCTCTCCCTCGCTCCACGCCGTCTGTCGAAGGTCGTCCCACCAGGCGACCGACTCGTCTCCCAGGGCAATGAACGCGGAGTAGTCCATCAGCAGCTCTTCCCCCTTCGCGACGTCCCTCGACGTGATGCTCCGCACGCCCTTGTTCACCACGTTCACCATGTCGGGGCGCTCCCCGTGGTTGAAAAACGAGGCCTCGTCCAGGTTGCACTCGACCTCCTGGGTCCGTGTCTGGCCGCTGTAGGCGTAGGCCCACAGGAGGACGTCGCACTGCAGGTCGTGCGGGAGCCGCCGCAGAAACTTCCTCATGGACCTGGGGTTCGGCCAGAAACCGTTGTTCGTTTGGTCGTTGCCCTTCCAGACCACGGTTCCGCTTGGAATATCCTCGGTGGCGTAGATGGCGCGCCCCCTCTCGCCGTCCCTGACCTCGAGCAGACCAAGGGTCAGGCCGCTGTAGCCCAGGTGGTTTAGGTTCCGAAGCCGATTGTGGGTTCTGTGGTGGTAGCTGTGCCTCGCTTGTTTTTCCTCGTAGTAGACCGCCTGGAGGTGCCTCCAGGTTTCTTCGCTGTGGATCAATCGGCGGTAGTTCGAGGTTGCGCAATCCGTCGGGAGGGGATAAATCCTCTCTTCTTCGACCTGGATTGCGAAGTATTCTTCGGCGGACCAGATTGGCATGTTTCTTTTGTCTTTCGATGCTCGTGCCTGCGGAGCGAAGCTGGCAAAATGGGCAACCTCCTCGATTTCAACCAAAGAGGTGCGGAAGGATAGCTTGGATACGAAGATAGAGTTAGTGACACCAATCAAAACGAAAACGGCGGAAATTCCGAAGACGTGCGAGTCTTCTGCACGTACTCGTACTTATGTTACGAGTACGTACGGTACGATTGGGGGGGCTAGGTGGGGGGGAGTGGTTGATCATTGCTCGAAAGAGACGTTGCAAAGAAGACTTTCAAAAACGGGAGGTACGGGAAAAAGCACGAAAACCAAAGAGCACACGTGCCAGAGTTCCGTTGAGTCTATGGAACATCCGTGATTCAATATCCATTGGCCGACAATTCAGAAGACACTGCCGCGGAAATGTTCTGCTCGCGTCGCACACGGGAATGGAATGGCATCTCACCGTTCAAACCCAACGGTAGAAAGGTCCATTTTCTTTGAAAATCTGAAGACCCGGCATGCTTTTTTGGGGGATCACATGTGCACAAGCAAGGTAGGACTCTATGTACCTGTACGAGTAACTGGTACCTGCACGAGTACGAGTATAGTATGTATGTAGCCTTCACGTAAAGGAAAGCCAAGTTTTTAAAATTTGTGATTACGTACCCGGGATTAAACAAGCAGCATGTCCGAGGCGAGGTTAACCTCGAACTGTGGTCAAATTGGTCATCCTACTGGTACGTACTTCCTCACTGCTAACAACCGTATCGTAGTACGTACGTAGCGTATGCTTTGCATGAAAAACAAAAAAAATATTTTGAATCCTTCACGGTACGGTACAGTACAGCACTGTACGTACGTACGAGTACTCAAGTTCTCTGTATCGTTCCATCTTTCTATTTAAAAACCAAAAAATGCCATTGCTGTATTTCACCTGGGGGTTTCAACTATCGTACCCATCAATTCATTCCGCACCCAATTTTGTTCGGCTGTTGAAGAGGACCAAAGAATCAACATCATCGTCGAATATGATATCATCTCTGTCAACATCTACTGGTGACTGAATGAATAATCCAATTCGACGAGAACTAGTGATTATTTGCTACCTCTGGCTCCATTCAACTGCATACCATAAAATTACCCTATCTTTTACCGAGTTGAATAGCATCATTGGTTCATCGGACTCAACATGCCATGCCCGTCTACGCACAACTCACAGAATTTAACGACCGGGTCACGTCGCTGATGTCCGCCGTCCTGTACAATACAAATCATTTCTATAGCGCCAACCTCGGTGAGAATCGTTCCCGGGATGCGTCTGGCCAACGAGAAAGGCCCCTTTTTGCTGAAGCCATTCTTCGAAAAGCAAGGGCGCTCCGGGAACTGGACTCCGTATCGCAATTTTCTGGTTCAGCAGCAACGAGAACAGTCCAGATCGTCCTGATCAGAAACCCTGCCGACGAATCCCACGTCGAAAGCAGCTGCAACCTCATCGCTGATCTCATTTCGCAGCTGTTTTCGATGCCTGAAGACGGTAGCGCCATCCGTGTTTGGCTCCAAATCGACATTGTCCGGTCGCACTCGATTCGGTAGGTGTCCCATTTCAGCATAGAAAGCAATGCAAGGTTCAGATAAAATGAAATGATCCGAAACAGAAAGCCAACATGCTGGTAGATTTCATTGGGGTTTTCCCGAGCGAAACTACTACGTGTTGGTTTCCAAACAGATTGCCGTTGCATTCCTTCCTTGGCCCCAATATTCCACCGTCTGCGTATGTCCTCTAACCAGATTCGTTTCGACGTCTTTTATTTCTCTTGGTTCAGGAACGATCTGGTTGCGGCCGATCGGTATAATGGCTCGGCCACGAATGCAAGTATGCAGGGAAGACGAAGGATGTTTGTGGCGCTGGGTTCTGCCATCCAGGGCCTCTGCCACTATCTTTCAGAGGATGAGATCGAAAGTAGCCATGGCCTACAATACCAGCAGAATCTAGGAATAGTCTGCGTCGATCCCCCGCCGGGTTTATGGAATTCCTGTATTGGGTCGCTACGGAATCACTCACACAAGAGAACGATGCCATTGCTGGTTGTGGGCTACGAAAACGAAGAGAAACTCAACGCTGCCAGTAGGGGGGATTTGCTGCGAGATTTGCGGTGCCTCCCTATGGCACTGGTGGTAATCGCTCATTATTCCGCGAGGATCGGAGGAAGGGTCTTGGGAAGCAGCAAACCCGGCCAAAACGGGCAGGACGGGGAAAACCGGTACGATGCATGCTTTTGGTTTGCGCGACTGGTTACAAAGTACGCAGAGGCTTTGCTGCACCTCCAAAGTCCACCGGGAAAACAGATACACCAAATAGAACTGAATTCGATTTCAAGAGTTATGGGAAGGTCCAAGCTCTAGTTAGATTTAAAGACAAGAGTGATCAGGCGGGTTGAGGTAAGGTCCAAGTGAAGGAAGCAATAGGCTGCCCATCGAATGATTTTATGGCCACTCTTTCGTCACACAGCATCGGCGTTTAGATGATCTCACAAAAACATCACTATGGTTATGGTCAACATTCAATTTGATCGTGAACCAGAGCTCTATGTTACCACATGCCTATCGTCCAAGTAATTCGTACATGGATTTAATTGCTACACGAATCATAATGTTTGTGATCGTTTCCATTTGATTCCAATCTTCGATCGCGTTGATAAATGCAACACTTGGACAGTCACGGATTCCTACCATTTTGTTCTCGTKGATTTTTTTGGGTTTCTAGAGATTTGGTGCTGTGCGTTTCAATACGATGATGCCGCCAAAGCAAAATCCCGGTGAGTTGCAAGAAAACATAGTTTTCAATGGTGAAGAAAGACAGGAAGCAACAAAAAGGAAGGTTTGTGCTAAGCCGCAGGTACTGTTAGTACAACATATCAATGTAACAAAGTGCCGAAGTACCAGTTTGTGGAAATTTTATTGTCCATTGTATTGATCGAGAATAACTGTATTCATTTTCATTGCGCACCGGACGATGTGTATCGCGTCGCTTTCACACTAATCCAGAGCTAACTCGATGAGCGAGTTCTTTTTCTGTGTCAGTTATGTCCAACAGCACAGATCTCGCTGTTCCATTGCGATGTCCTACCACGACAATTCGAGCAAATTTCGTGCAGTACTCTCAATGTACGTTTGAGAAACAAGGCTCAACTTTTGTTTCAAATTCAATATCTTCTTTAATTTTGCGCTGCTGAATACTCAAGTTCGAACGACATGAGCGGTTTTTGATATCTTTAGATCTGCGTCCCATATAATTGATTTTATTGGTGGGTTGCTTATTTGATAGTCGAATATCTTTCGTTTCTTTTTCTTGCCCATCACCGGCGTCGTTTGTAGTGCTGACGACGTGAACAGAGACGGATTGGTTTGCTGCCTAATGGTCGAATACTTCGGAGATATTCCAGAAACCTCTGGTAATTTTCTTAGGGTTCTACCTGCGTTCGGTATAACAACGCCCGAAATTGCGTTCATTATATCTGTTGTCGATGCGAGCTAGTGTCGTCTCTACCATCTGAGATTTTCTTCGGGAAAATAAGTCGCAATTTGTTGACATATGGTTATGAAGCGTGCCCTATCACGCATTCAGAATAATTCCATGATCGAAAGCACGACCAACATTTTTAGAGGAAGTTCAGTAAGAACCGTACTACAACGAGTACGAGTACCATTGGAACCCGTACGAGTATCTACGGTACTGATTGTTCATGGGGAAAACTTGGCTCTCGTATCATTGATTTATCCCTAACCCCAAAGTTTTTCTTTCATAGCGGGCGCACTTTTTCGACAAAGTTCCTCCCTCCCTCCCCCTTTGGAATTTAGTGGATGATTCGCCAAACAAGGAAGGTACAGGCCGGTACGAGTACGACTCGTATGGTTCTGAAACGCTTACGAGTACCGTACTCTTACAGCACCTCTGTACCGTATTAGCCTTAGTTTCGTACACCGTACGCAAATAGTTGGTTCACGACAGATAGGAAACAAAAGAATTGGCACGGGAAAGGCCCCACCAACAACACAACAGCGCAATACGAAAGATAGCATTGCACCAACCACACCATAACTGTGGCTATACCAAAAAGAGATCAATATTCGATTCACTTGAAGGTCTAGTGCACTATATCACAGTTGACGAAACAGAGCAAATATAAACTAGGGCTGAGATTAAGGTGGGACACAACATAAATCGTCGATTACGAAATACATCAAATTACACGACAACAAATCATGGTTTCGATTCGACAGGCAACCGTCCAGGATTTGCTACAGATTCAGACCACGAATCTATGGTGCTTGCCAGAAAATTACCAAATGAAGTACTATTTTTACCACTTGCTGTCCTGGCCGCAATTGCTCTGGGTCGCTGAGGATTTCGACGGGAAAATTGTTGGATATGTTCTTGCGAAGATGGAAGAAGATGAAACGCAACCAAAGCACGGTAAGCATTGGCGTTGAGCAGATTTTAGTACGCTTCATTATGTTTAATCGATGATGTAAACCAATGTATGAGTATGCAGGGCGAGAAACAAGCTTGAATAGTTTTGTCAACAACAATGCCACAAACTTTTAATCTGTGTGACTGACAGCTTCAAAATACTGTTTCCGCCTCCAACTTTCGGTTCGTTTTCGATCAAACGCATTGAAACTACACGCTTTTTGTCCATGAATAAACAAACTATGAAATTCTGAAAAATATAAGGCCACATCACCTCCCTTTCGGTCCTGAGGACACACCGAAAAAGGGGGATCGCCACCGCCCTAATGCGCCGGAGTCAAAAAGAAATGGCCGACGTATTTGGTTCTGAATACGTAAGCCTTCACGTTCGTAAGTCCAACCGAGCCGCATTTCACCTCTATTCAGTGACGCTTCAGTATGAGGTCAACGATGTCGAAAAGGGGTACTACGCCGATGGAGAAGACGCCTATGACATGCGGTGTTACTTCAAGCAACGATCAACGCCGGCAAACGAAGAATCCTCGGCAGCAGTGGGCGGTACCAACGAGAGCAGTAGTACTGAGGAGACGGACGGACCACCAACGCGAGCAATGCACCAGTTGCAGGTGAGCGATGCAGCGGCTCCGGTGGCGGCAGGGATGTAGTTCTCAGGTATTGATTGATGAGTTGTGCTTTGATATGATATGATATACTTTGTTATGCTTTGCTAAGTTGTATCAGCGAGCCGACGATTTGAGCAACCTAAGATGCGATAGGGGTTGGCTTTGGTTCATGGAAGGCGTGGTCGTACAATTCAATACTAATGGATCGGTCGCAAACGGCAATATACAAAAGTCTATTTCATACGGATTTATTGTTCGTCAAACCGTTCGTTGACTTGGCGATGCTATCATACATATATGAAACGACACCGAATATTCATCACTAGGAAAATACAATTTGTACTAACAAGACGATACGACATCGAACACATAACAATAGTAAAATGCAATTTGCACTCACTAGAGGAACAGTCTTGCGTTCTGATACCACGTCGTGGATGTGCCTACACAGCAAATGCCGTGGTATATTTTTCCTCCCAAGCAGCCATTGCTGTATTCTAGGACTTTAGTAATTTCAGCATTCTGTTATGTAATTTGTACTGCGGATCAAATTCTCAGCGACACCATGCGGTGGTGATAGGAGAAGGAACCGTCCCTAGATCACGTAAAGCGAGAAGTAGGGCCCAACCATCAAGTAGTATTCACAGTAATCTGATACAACACAATTATGTGGGTGCATCAGAATATAAAATTGTGCAAGCTGGGAGATTGTCGATGATATTTTCCACACAGAATAGTAGCTTCAAAAATGACATCTGCTACTGGTGAAATTTGTGTGACGAAGTAGCAGAAGTTCTGTGCTGCAGGAGACTAGTATTACCTTCAGTGATATTCTCTTGAGAGAAAAGCATGGAATTCTTGGTAGTTAAGGAATTCGAAGTAAAAATAAGGTGGCATACGTTACTATGATTGTTTTTCTTGCCATTATCATGGTAAAAGTCATTGGGGACAAAAGTAGAACTCCTCCCTTGTATTTTCTTTGCTACTACTAGATCAGCTCAGTGACAGATGTTCTTGGTGACAAGTGAAGGCCTTGTTTAACATACTTACATCAAGTACTCCTAGCAGTTTGCTGATCTTCATTCTTTGCCCTCAATGGAAGAGGGACCTGGTGTGTGGAGGGGACTATGGTGTGCTATTGGGGCAACAGGAGACACACCATCAGCAGACATAAAAACTAGTACTAATGTGCAACAGGGGGGAAGGCATTGAAGAATCAAAGAATTGGCATACTACTAGTAGTATTCCTCCACCAGTGGGCGCCGGTGACTTCTTTCTGTCAAACAACCAGGATTTCCTTTAGGTGGTATTCTGATAGTACTAGTGGTACTAGGAGGATCTAGGATCAGTAGCACCACAAGAAATAGAAAACCCAGTGCTGAAGGAGCAACAAGGATATGGTACTCACACCCCTTTGCCTTACATTTCCCTTTGCAAATGATAGGATTTGGTTTTAGTACTATAGTACTACTACTAGTACCACTAGTAGGACTACTACTACTAGAGGAAGTTGTAGTACAAGAAGTACTAGTACTATAAATAGATACTGTAGTTCTTTTGCTGTTCCCAGTGGTAGGATTTGCATCTAGCTAGCTATTCTATAGCTACCAGCACAGAGAAGCTTCCCCAGGAACAGGAGAATTGTTGGAATAGCCTATTTCAACCAGGACACCACATTCTTAAGTACGGTTCTTCTTGTTGCAGGCAGGCTAGGAAAAGTGTTTGAGTCTTGCCTTGCTATTAGTAGTATCCCATATAACAAACAAGAACATCACAGGTGACAAATCAAATCAAGGAGATTCTCCTACAACTCCCAGCCCCAAGTAGTTCTTCATGTTGCTTGTTGTAGAAGACTAGTACTATTACTAGTACTAGTACTAGTAGTAGAAGAAGAAGAAGAAGAAGAAGAGAATTTCTAGTACTACTACTAGTAGTAGTACTAGTATTACTCCTGCTACTACTAGTACTAGTACTACTAGCTGCATTGATTGTTAGTAGTAGTACTAGTAGTAGTACTAGTTACACATATCATGAATTTGTACTTGTGGTAACAAAAGTATATCCATGATAACATCAATCATTCTCAATCATACTAGTAGGAATCAAAACTTTGCTGTTCCTTCACTTCACAATTTGTTGCATTTATGATTTATGATGAAATAAAACTAAAATAGTACCTAATCTACGGACGTCTTACAAGTATGTTGTTAGTACTAGGACTCGTACCCTACCTGCACTAGTTCGTCGTTGATAATGTCTTCTCCCTACCTACCAATATTCTGATAATATTGATGGACTATCGTGCAAGCACCGATTAGTGACGTCAGAAAGGACAGAAAGATCGGGAAGAAAAATGTTTCGCGCGTCAATCCCGACGAATTCGTTTCTTTCTACATTGACGACTCAATCGACTCAATTCGATCGAAGGACGGACCAAAAGTTGCATCGACCACACGCAGTTGACCAATGAAATTTCAGTGAAATGTTCTTTTTATTCTTCGAAGTAGAATCTGCACCAATAATGTCCATGTAAATTTGAAACCCAGTTGTAGAGAAAAATGAGTCCCTCAATCGTGTTCCATCATATCATAGCACCCGCGCATCGGGCTGTACGGTACAGTACGGACTTACTACGTAGTTGTTTACTAACCTGCGTTCAAATTTTTTGTGTTGGCGATGTATTTTTCGCACTAAAATTCTCCCCCTCCATTTCTGTCCTTGGATAGATGGAGAAGAAATCAACACGCCAACATCGCGCAGATTTACTCTGCTGCTGCCTGAAATTTCATCAAAATGTCGGATTCTTTTTGCTTTCCCGTGGAATGAATGTACCTACGGTTCCGTAGTTTGATTGCCACCTGAAAAAAAACGACATTTTTGAATTCGTTTCTTCGTGAATAACAGCACATTCGTTTCCATCACTTCAATCCTCACAAACAACTTTTACCAAGATATCTTCCTGACAGAGATAGCACCGCCTAATTCATCGCTTTTGTTTTCTTCTTCACAGAATTAAACCCTCATCATCGAACTTAAGGAGTTGTATCTCCACCATTGAACCGACTTTCAGCCCTTTTTCATCGGTTGTCAATTGACTTCCTTAGAACCTACCTGTCTCCACCGACCACACATCTGAATCTACGCAACAAAACGAACCACCGCTTTCAACATTTTGAACATAACACGTTGAATTCTAGGTTTTAAACGCACAGCAAACGTACAAAGTATAATTACACAAAAGATGAAGATAGCATCCACTGCCGTTGCCGCCATGGCCCTCGCTGCCGATCCTACTGGAGCCTTTTCGTTCACGGCACCCGCCGTCGGCAAGACCGTTGCCAATAGTAGTAGCAGCAGCAGCTCCCGATTGAGCATGGTTTTAGAAAAACCTAAGGCACCAATCAAGAAGATTTCCAAGCTTGAGATTTTGAAATCGGAATCCGCGAATCTTTTGCATCCGCTCAAGGAGGTAAGATACGTTAAGTTAACACTGGCATTCATTACTCGATGATACAGTCGGCGTAGCAGAATTCGGACGAAGCGAATGGATCATGAATCAATTGGTAGAATGGCTACCACAAATAATTTGGAAAAGAAACGAAAGAAGAGAAGACTCGAATTGGAAATTCATTCAAATCGATTGAAAAAGTCCAATTCGAAATGTTTGGATTATTTCACCCGTCTTCACTGTATCTGTCTTGCATGGAGTACATCATCATTTCCAGAGACCAAGTGATGCAGTATACATCCTTTCTGGAGGTTTATGCCATGCCGACTTTATCTTTAAAGAGTTATTTGTTTTCTCGCCAAAAGCATTTAGATACTCACCTCTGACTCATTCTCCATTTCCACCAACTAAAAAAATGATTTCGCTTTACATAGGAATTAACAACCGAAAGCATCGGGATTTCCAAAGATGCGTACCAAATTATGAAATACCACGGCTCTTACCAACAATCCAACCGAGAAAAAAAGTCTAAGGTCAAGGATTACCAATTCATGCTCCGTCTCAAACAACCTGCTGGAGAACTTCCGCCCGATCTGTACCGTCTAGTTGATGATCTTTCCGCAAACCACGGACAAGGGGATTTGAGAGCAACCACACGCCAATGCTTCCAGATACACGGAATCATGAAGGGATCACTAAAGACTGTGATTTCTTCCATTATGAACATCGGATCTTCTACTGTTGGCGCTTGTGGTGATGTTAACCGTAACGTCATGACAACTCCTGCACCATTTGTGTCGAAGGACTACGAATATGCACGCGAGTATTCAAAGGTCTTTGCACATTTGTTCCGACCCATGACACCTGCCTTTTCTGAATTGTGGCTAGATGGAGAAAAAGTTGCAACTGCCGAACTCTGGGGAAAAGAGGTCGAAAAGCACAATATTGACGAGGCGATGACCTACGACAGCGGACGAGGAATCATCCTGGACCACCCAGTTGAGCCTCTGTACGGAGACCGATACCTTCCTCGAAAGTTCAAAATCGGTGTTACCGTTCCCGGCGACAACTCTCTCGACATTTACACGAACGACATTGGCTGCGTTGTTATCACCAACGATGAGGGTGAACTCGAGGGATTTAACGTTATGGTAGGCGGAGGCATGGGTCGAACTCACAACAAAGAAACCACGTTCGCACGTGCCGCTGATCACATGGGATTTGTTCCCAAAGAAGACATTATGGAATGTTTGAAGGCCATTCTCGCTGCCCAGCGTGATCATGGTAATCGCGATGTCCGAGCAAATGCCCGCATGAAGTACCTTGTTCATACTCTTGGCATTGATAACTTTACAACCCTAGTTGAGTCCTACTTTGGCAAGAAAATCCAACCGTGGAAGGAAATCCAAGAATGGAAGTACAACGATTGGATGGGATGGTGGGAACAGGGAGATGGAAAACTCTTCTACGGACTTCACGTCGACAATGGACGAGTCAAAGATGAAGGCGACTTCAAACTCAAATCCTGCATGCGAGCCATTGTCGATAAATACAACTTGCCTATGATCATGAGTCCCACCCAGTCCATTATCTTCAAGGATATCAAACCCGAGGACAAGGCCGGATTCGAGGCCATTCTCGCGGAGCATGGCATCAAACCCCTCGAGGAAATCGATCCCCTCGCCCGTTTGTCCATGGCCTGTCCTGCGCTACCCCTTTGTGGTCTTGCCCAGACCGAGGCAGAGCGCATCATGCCCAGCTACATCGAACGAATCCGTGCCGTCTTGGGCAAGCTTGGCATTGACGACGAAGAAATTCTCATGCGTATGACTGGATGTCCCAACGGATGTGCCCGTCCCTACATGGCCGAAATGGCCTTTGTTGGAGACGGCCCGAAGTCCTACCAGATCTGGCTCGGAGGCTCTCCAGTTTTGACCCGAACTGCCTGGCCCTTCAAGGCGAAGGTGAAGAACGACGATCTTGAGGTGATCGTCGAACCAATTCTGGCCATGTTCAAGGAACAGCGACAGGAATTCGAAGCCTTTGGGGACTTTTGCCACCGCGTGGGAGCCGATGCCATCGAAAAATTCTCGGAAACATACGAACCCATTGCAGCATAATCATAGACAATAAATACCTTTCCTACCGTATAACACGATATAATAATAAAATAACCATAATTTGGAGATAATTTGAGCCCAACAGTAATATCGTATTCAACTAACGACAGATTTAAATCGAACGATGTCTCGGAAATGCATTTTACCTATTCGCCCACGAGTTCCCTCTTTAATTGAAAATCATTTTCCCTACGCTCATCATCGAGAACGGATCACTACTGCAATGCTCGTGTACAACAACTAGTATTGCTCATCTATTTTAATTTTGGTAGTATCACAACCAAGTCCTCAGTAAGTCATGACAACCTGACACTCCTAATCTTAGTGGCTGGGCTAAATCATCATTTTCAATTTCTAGCCAGGTGGTAAACTTTGACTAGGATGAATACAGCACTTGTCTAGGCACGACATCTTTGTCTGCCCTCAATCATTTTTGTGCGATGGAGGTGCTGTTCCCGTTTTCTGGAACAGAAAACTATACAGTCGACGCGAAGTTAGATACTTTTATTGCGAGGCCGCGGAAAACTTTGGAAACCGCTATAATGATTCTTAGAAGCTCGGATGTCAAGAAGAGCTTCAATGGCTCGCACTTCTGCTTGAAAGAGGTCGTCGTTGGTATGTTGTCGGTGGTCTCGGTTGTAAACAAAGTTTTTACCAACAGTCTTCTCTTTCGTATTTTTCTCGTTCTTTTTCGAAGTTGGAAAGTCGCAGCGGTGTTTGACCACTTCACAAGGTTCAATCGCAGCCGATGCTGTACGATCTTGGAACATGCTTCCTTCTAGCTTTCTTTGTTCGTGACGCTGGGATTGGGCGAAGGTAGTAGTAGAAGACGAAGAACCATCCGTTACCCCGGCAATCGAATCGAAAGAAGGCGCGTATCGGTAGGGATGATGGTAGTGGTGATGCTGATGAGATCCATAATGACCTTGGTGGAATGGATGGTGGTGATGATTTGGGTTTCCACCCAATGTCGTTGTTGTCACCGTGGTCGTGGTCAGAGGTGCAAAGGGTTCGGGGGGAATTTCTACTGGTAACGATAATGTCGAATGTAATTCMTTCGTCGACTTACTTGAAAGTGGAAAGGAGTGACGGTGTGGGTGACGATGACGATGGGAATGATTAGTCTTTCTTCTCGATCGTTGCTCGAGGGATTCGCGGTGCTGTAGATGGCAGCGATTCGAGGACGATAGGATGTGAGAAAGAGAATGTTGCTTCTTCCTCTTGGTCATTGGAAGTGAATTGGAAGATCGTCGACGTTGTGCCGTTCCTTCTTGATCAGAAGGAAAAGATTTCACTTCTTCTTCTCTTGTCCCTTTCCGAGTGAGTCGCTCAAAAGTTTCCAGTTCCTCAAAAATGTTGGTACCCTGGTCCTGCTTTTTCAACATGACTTGTGCATGGGTTTTGACTTGGACGGTGGTCCTATCATTATTTTAGGTAGGAGAAGGGATGGAAAGAAAGATCGCAGAGTAGGGATAATTATCGAAATGAGCGAAGCGGAGGAATGCAGATACTGAGTCAAACATTTTCAGAGGGACTAGAGATTATACAAGAGTGAAGAATAGACATCGATGAATATCGCTCGCACCTTGTCGGAATAGATTCTCCTATCTTCTTCCAATGGCCCTTGCCGTGTTTTCGAAGTCCCCTGAGGAATTCGAAGCGTTCCCATGTTTCCCACCGGCCTACGCTGGTGCGTTTCGAAGATTTCGATTTCGATTTCGTCTTTTTCCTCTTGGTCGTCTTCATTGCGGCCGTTACATTATTATCTTGATCCAACATCGTTGTACTACTACTCTTGTCATCGCTGACTTGGTTGAGTCTTGCAAAGCTTCCATTCAGTGATGTTTTCCTGTTTTCGGGAGAGTCACTTTTCTCTTTATTAAATTTGTCTTGGTTTTCGTCATCGCTGCTGTTCTCGTCAAACAAACGTCGCAATCTACGGGAAACAGCACGCGTAGTTCTTCCACCTGTGGCACTATACTCTGAAATATTGTTCTCGCTGTTGTCATTGACTCGCACGAGAGGACTGCGAATGCTTAGAGGAAGAGATCGGCGATGATAATTCATGCTTGGGAGTCAGTATGGAAAGCGTGTCCGAAATGTTGTCGGTGTATGCATCTGTTGTGCATGGATTATGTTTTGATGGTGCTGGGTGGTGTCCGACGGCGCACTTCGATTGATATTCCCTTTGTTTTTGTTGTTGCTGAAAGAAGCATAACAATAAAATGACGAGGAAGAAGCGTTTGCCAGGAAAATCGAAATAACGAACGATGATGTCTCGATCGCATTTTGCGTGATGACAGAAAAATGATCTTCTCGTCAGTCACGTTTACTCGCTCGTTTCTCTCAAAAATTACGGGGAACAATATTTTCCTGCAAAGAAAACCCATTTCGTGATGATTATTGCCCCATGAATCATCAATGTGGGACCATAAGACAATTTGTTTGATTTTTGATATAATTTTTGATCGATTCATCGTTATGGTTATGCTACGCTATGACTCCAGTATCCGTACCTACGTACGTAGTACGTAGTAGCCTGATACTAATACTTACTATACCAGATACCAGTAGTAGAGTAAAGTACCATATCGTACCCATGTATCGTACGTACCCTTGACCAATGTAGGTGTTGCGTACGTACGATACTACGGTACCGTACACCGTACTGTAATGTTCAACGGCCGGCTGTCATGCATCATGCATACAGTACCAAAACGATTAATTCTACTGTACCAAAAGTATCAACGAAAAAAATTTAACGGAAAGAATTCATTCCTGATCGAAATCGTCTCTCAAAACTTACTCGTACCCTAAGGTGTCTGAATTAGGAGTCCCAACGGAACATTATTCGTAAGAACAGAAGTAAGCTCGATATGATTCTGACGACGAAATAATATATGCTAGTTGAAAATTCTTTTTGGTTCTTGGAAACGATAGCTTTGCCTTCTCTATAGTTCTCTATCAACCTATTCGTTTGGTTGGAAACTAAAATTTAATTGAATGTTTATTCCCAATAGAATTTCCGTAGCGTTTGTAATTAGACAAATGAAGATCTGGTTATAACATTACTAAGGAAATAAGAAAAAAATTAAAATTGTTGTACAAAATCCATACTCGAGTAACCAAGTTGTGTTTGGGATGTTGATTGCATCAGTTGATATGAATCAAGGTCTCAGCTATCATTGCGTCCTTTAGCTTTTACCACCAGCGCGTTGCAACCTTTATGCTCGTGAATCACCGCATGTGGTATCGTCACCATCTTCTCCGTCTTTTGAACTGCTAGTGCTAATGACGTCGGTGGCGGAATCTTCAATGACGTACACTCTTGCATTTGGAGTTTTGTCGTCTCTTGCGCTGCCGATACTAACAACACGAACGAGCTTATCATTTTCCTCTTCTACGTCTCCTCTTGCTTTAGTGTTTCTACCTGTGCCATGGTTACTTTTTTGCTCGTCTCTCCTTCGCTTAGTGCTACCGCCGTCCGTCACGGAATGTTGGAATCGCAGTTGCTGCTGCTGGGCGAACAGCTCTTCCTGTTTGATCTGGATCGACCCAATAAACTTGTCCATTTCCTTGAGGTAGGAAACGATATTTGAATTTTTTTCGATCAGTGACTTTTTGTTCTCCTTCAATACGCTGATTTGGGTGTCCTTGGCCCTCAAGTACGAAGCTAGCTTGGTGTTGCGATTGGCAAGCTCGTCGTTGCGATTGGCGAGATCCTTGTTCAGTTCGGCTTGTACCTCCAGTTGTTCCCTGAGTCGTGCGGTCATGTCGGCAAGCTTTCTGTTTTCCTCTGCCATGTGCGCCAATGTCTTTTCCTGTCTTCCATTTTCTTCAGAGAGGTTTGCTATATTCTTTTCCTGTCGAAAGACACGCGCCCACAGAAGTTCGTTCTGTTTCTTGGAGTCCATAAGTAATGTTTCACTACCAAACATAAGCTGTGCACGTCGCGATGGCGTCAGCAAATCATACTGTGATGATACTAGTGGCTGCTGTTGCTCGTGTCGTTTACCGAAATCCATTCTTAACATTATCTTCTACAATGATGCCGTTATTGCTATTGTTTTGTTGCTGCTGCTGCTGCTGGAATTTATCTTTTTTCCCTCTTGTTTTGCGTTCCTTTTGCTTTTTCTAGCCAACGGTTATATGATCACTACACTCATTCTAGTTTTAATAGTAATTTATTGTAGTAGCATCACGATGAAGTGAGAAACTCAAAATCAGCAACACATGGTGAGACAAAAAATATCATTCGGTACAGATTGTACCCCGAAGAACAAGAAGGATCATACTTTGAGTGCTATTTAACCTCCCAATTATTCAATAATGTTGATGCCGTTTATTTAGAAAAACCGGCCTTTGTTTTTGTCATAATTTAAGATTAGCCACTGAGATTAAACAATATAAAATATCAATTAAATTCGACGAATGAGAGATCTGGTAGTTCTCATGTGTTTACATAATCCATGAACAGAGGATTGCAATAGTTAGCTCCATATATATTTCATTTTATAAGATTTTGACGTTTTTTTTAACGACCCATTTTGAAGTTATTTTATCTATTACGTTTGTTACTGTGAAAGAAAGATCCTTATTTCAAAATTTTGGTTAGTATCGATCAAACAAGTCGGATGACGACATGCTAGAAACAAATTCGACACAGAAAAAAATTCTCAACTACCGTATCGTATTTAAAGGTCCCCCTCCTGGTCTACTTTAATTTTTTTTTCAGAAATAGTGAGAAGGACCATGTTCTCGATGCCAAATCTCACTTAAGAGATGCTTTTTGATGAACCATTCAACGGGCTTCTGTCAATTAAAGTTCTGATAGTACAATACATAAGAAGAATTAGTTTGATATTAATCTTTATTTATAGTGTAATGAAATTTGATTCTTTAATTGCGTTAGGGTATTCTTGCTCCTCGTTTGAGATTAAAGCTGAAAGAAAAGTCACACTTGTTCATCATGAGCCACTGGTCGATTTCGTCGCTTCCGCATCCGTGAACAACATTGTTTCTTCTGTACCGTAAAGGCAGGCAATACCGCAATGTGCAATGGCCACATCAAATGTATATCGTCGGACCGTTCGATGCCGTTTGTTAGCATAAGAAAAGTTAGCTTTTTATGCATTGCATTCGTCTAAGAGTTTTGTTTTCGGTATTCCCATTTCTATTCCTGCTTGCGTCTGTCCACCATCATATGGTGTCGCCTTCTCACTCGTAGCAGTTGCCAGAAAGCAAATGCAAATCCCAATCTACCGTACCGTATCTCTGCCTGACGCTGAAGATTGTAAGGCGTCACCGACATTGAAACCGGACGCTGCTCTCACAGCTCGTCGTCGTCGTCGTCGTCGTCGTCGTCGTCGTCGTCGTCGTCCCAATCCAGCTCGTCCAGATCCGCGAGTTTTTCGGCCGCTTCGGCACGAAAGGCCGTGAGTCCCGACAAATTTTCCAGGTAGGAACCGTCCATGGAGGCGCAGGCACGAGACACCAGTCCGAACCTGTCGACGTCATACGCCGCCAGGACGGGCGCCGAGCAACCCGTGCAGCACCGAAAGGCCGGAACGGAGGGTGTCATCATGGTGTAGGTAACGATCGAGCCCCGGATCTGGTGTGGAATGAGCCCCAGCGGGCTGCTGTCGCTACCGGAACGTTCGGTCGGGGCAAAATTGCCGCTGTTGTTGCCTCCGGGCGCCGGTGCGTGGGCCCGCTGTTTCGAGGGATGGTGGAGCAGGGAGACGAGCAACTCCACGGCCATGCTGCTGGCGATGGGGGCCAGTCCCGGCCGTGTCACCGTGCACTGCTGATCCAGGGTCCGGTTTTTGGTGGAATTCTCCGGGGCGACGACGTCGTTGCAAAAGTAGCACCCGAGCCGATTGCTTTGGCTGCTGTTGTCGTCGCCACCGAGATCGGCACCACCGTGGCCGTGTCGCATGACCAGCCACGAATCCAATCCGAGGGCGGCATTGATGAGAATCTTGTCGTGGTGCGCGGCCATCACGGTCGGGAGCCACCTCGATTCCCTCGTGTCGGTCAAGAGAAAGACCACATCGGCGTTCTTGACCAGTGCATCCAGCCGATCCACCGTCTCGGCGAGGGATTCGTCGTTATCGGAAGCGTGGCCGGGCATGGGAATGCTCAGCCGTATGCCCTCACTGACCACGTCGGCGGCAATCTCCTTGAGCGCGGCGGCGGCAGCCTCCGCCTTGGGCTTTCCCTGGCCGTGGTCAAAGTGGCAGTCTTCCAGGTTGAAGAGGACCTGTCGGACGGGATTGGAGTAGCTGACCGTCCCGTAGTCCACAAAAGTAAAGTGGCGGATCCCCCACCCGAGGAGGGTTCGAGCTACGGAGCAGCCCAGCGTTCCCGCGCCCAGCAAGAGAACCTTGCAGTTCTTTTGCAAGAGATCGACGTCCAGCTCGGGGATCATTCTCCACTTCATGAGCTTGAGGTTGAGATCGGCCGCCTGAATGGCCAGGTGGTTTTGGTCCAGGAGCGGCTTGAGGTTGACCCACCTGGGACCGGGTTTTTGGCGGGCATTGAGCTCCCACCCGACAACCTTATAGGTGGGTTCTTTCGTGTCCTCCTTGCCGTCGCTTTTTCCGTAGTCGTAGTCTCGGGAATGGGGGAGCGTGACGGTCATCAGGACAGAATTCTCGGCCAGTCGCTCGCCATCCACCGCCGACAGCATCGAACCAAACTCGTTGCTGTCGGTCGCGTCGATCCTTCCCCTCAGGCCGGGGCAGCCCCCGGGTCGGAGACTTAGAATCCGAACCTTTTTCCCTCCCAAACCCAAATGCAGGACGAGGTAGGCAACAAGATTCCGCATCGGCCAGCCCATCATCAAAATGTCGTTTGTCTTTGTGCCGCTGCCGCTGCTGCTGGAGCTGGCAACACCGATCGCCGTGGGATCCACGAATCCAAAGACCGCTTCTTGTCCCTCGGAAAGATCCAGGGCCTCGCGGTGGTCCCGATCGAGGGGCGCCGCAATGTCCAGCGGGCCGGGATCGTCCCCCGCGGTGAAACCGCCGGCCCGCACCGCAAAATACGGCGGCAGGGCGTCCTCCCTGACGCGGTACGCGTACAGTCCCTCCGCGAGGCCCGCCCACCAGGATTGCCCGGGCGAACCCCCCGTGCTCGCCAGGATGGGGGCCCTGGCCATGATCGTCGGAAAGCCAAACCAGTACAGGACCTTGTGCTGCTTGAGGTCGGGAAAGGTGAGCAAGACCAGCGACGGGGCCGCCAGGGAGGACGACGAGGCACCAAAAAAGCGGTCGCAGAAGACGTCCTTCAGCAGCTTGTTCTTGTCGACCTTTTGAAAGGATTCCTTCGTGTTGTATCCGAGGAGGACCCCGGCACACGCCACGCGGTCGTTGGGGATCGGGCTTTCCCGTGCGGCATCGTGTCCGCCGGCGTCGTCCGCCCCCGGAAGGAGCAGGCCCGATTCCTGGCACTGGATGCGGTTGGTCCCGCCGGTCGCCGCCGACGTGGCTGCTGCTGCTGCCCCGTAAGAAGCCCGAATGTCGATCGGGTCTTCGTTGAGCCGAATCGTTTCCAGCTTGAGGTGGCAGTAGCGCACCCAAAAGGGCGATTCGACCGTGGAAGAAAAGGGGATGAATTTCACTACGGACTCGCTCTCGTTCGTCATTGTGGTTCCGGTGTTGTGTGGTGCTGACTGTTTGCGGTTTGCCGTAGGTTGTCGGGAGGTAAATTGATTTCGTCGGCGATTGGTTCGGTCGGTAACTGATCGAATGAGTGATTCCGTTTCTCTTCCTCTCTTGTTTGTGTTGGCTTTCTGTGCTGTTCTTTCGTGATACGACTGGACCGTCAAAGTGATTTTTTTAGAAGTCTTATCTTAGCGGCATGTTATCACGGTCGAAGAGGTTTACAGTAGAAGGCGTCTTTGTTGACGTTTTGATCGTCGATGCGAAAAACATCATGGAAGAAAGGAATCAATCGAAACTCAGCACGGTACAGTACGTACAGTACTTACGAGTAAAGTACTTTCTGTACGAATAATTTCTTGTCCCAAAGAATTTGAAAGAATGCTACGTGTACTTAGAGTATGGTACACTAGTACGAACGACCATACGTTTCAATACAGTACCGTATTTTGTATTATTGCGTAAGGAACCATTGTAAACAGTTGCATGAATGGATTCTTTTATTCGATTCGTTCGAATCAATTCCCCGTGCCTTGGAACGGATGATGGACAGAATGTATTGTGTCGTTCGAACTACCGAAGGAGCAGTCGTGCGTGCCATATGTAATACGTACAAGTTACGAGTACATACTCGTATTATTTCACTCGCTACTTTATGGTGTCACACCGGAATTTTTGGACCAACCGACTTCGAGGGCCGCCCCGCTCGGATGGATTCAATTGGTGGGATCGAGTGTGCACATCGTTGTCACAGCCAAGACACATACAATATCACTGCGCTCCTTGCTTCCGAACCGGGTTTTGTGAGTAGGAGGCAGTCCGAAGCCGCACAATGGCCAAACCGATGCGTTCCCGTGATGCTCCTAGTTACTTTGCGGTACGTGCAAAATGTACCAGGAGTGTTGGAACAGCTATTGGCGTGACTGTTTTTGGTTCTGCTAGGGCTGGTGATTCAATTCGCTTCAATTCAATTCTCAGCAAACAATCGAATTCTGTTCAAGCCACCAAACAAACGAAGCAAAAAACGAGCGAAACGAATACCGTGTAAGCGATCCATACTCTTAACGGATTCAAAAATACTGTATTGTGATTCCACACACATCATCAATATAACGGACGGGACGCAATCCTTCCCGGGGATAACACAACCGCTACTATCAAGCAGCTTGGGTATTCGAAGCAGCGCATTGTTCCACTTCCCGTCTTGTACCCAGCTTGCACKGAGGCATCCAAACACCACCGCATCACCGATCCCGCTGCATAACAAGCACGTCGCATCGTATCTGGCATTCCGTGCTCTTTCGGTCGACAAACACAACTTAGCGTTCACATCAATACATTTCAAGACAATAGTATCACAATATACAACACGACACACAAGCAGCAAGCATGGACGATCTAACCTCGATCCCCTGGTGGCAGAAAAACGGCAACGACGAAGACCTCATGCGCGGGGAMTACGACGACGCAGGCGACGACGACATTTTGAGCACGGAGCAGCCTGTCTACGCGAGAGAGGGTGATTTCCACCGGGAGCGAAGAAAGCAGAACCAGAACGAATACGAATACGACTACGAATACAAGAACCAGCGCCATTCGAAAGCAGGAGCGATCCACACCACCGCTGAGACGAACCCGCGGCGCACCACTGGATCCAGAAACGAGCGATTCGTTTCGGAGGATCCCAGTGCCAACCGCAGGTCCGATGCCAACGCCAGTTCTACGAAGAACGCTTCCACGAGACGGAAGCAATCCGTTTCGAGAACAAAGAGCGGAAACGCGTTGCGTGGCGGGAACGCCTCCCCGGAACAAGCCCCGGAACCGGAGCGACCCCCTCCGGCGAAACGAACGTCTTCTTCCTCCTCTGCTCGGCGGCATTCCGGCGACAAGAGCGACAAACGCAGCAGCAACGGCGACAAGATCCGCAAGCAGGTCCGGTGGATCTGTAGCTCGTGCACCTTTGTCAACGCCAGGAACTGCAGGGTCTCCTGCACCAAATCCACGATCCTCACGTGCGAGGTGTGCTCGGTCCCGTACGTGCTTCCCGCGGCCGCGGCCAGGAGCAGCGGCGACGTCCACGATGCCCGGTCGATCACGGAACAGCAGGCACCGCAGCACGCCGAGGACCGAACTCGCCGGAACAGCAGCAGCAGCCTGCCACAAGCAAACACCAAGAACGACACCGCGAGGCGCCAAAAAGACAGCCAATCGCGCCACTCAAAGGGAGACAACTCGGACAGCACGTCCTCGACCGGGGCATCCACCAGCAAGAGCAATGGGAACAACAGAACCTACTCGATCTCGGAACTCGTGCGGTGTCTCGGGGCCACGGGGGAAGACGGATCATCCTCGGTCTCGAACCTCCCGCCGTCGCTGGAGCGGAGGGTCCAGGACTTTCGTTTTGCGCAGCAAAAGCGACGAGAAAAACACGGCGATCAGAAGGCATGGGGGATTTACGGCCTCTATGCTCACCTGTCGGACATTCGGGCCGATCTGGAATGGGCCGAGGACGCCGCCTGGCGCCGCCGTAGGAGCAAGCCCTATCTGTCCTGGAAGGACTTTGACGCGGCCCGCGACAAGGGCGCCCACAGCCGGCCCTACTTCACCTATGGGGTCATGGTTTTGTGTACCGTGATGATGCTCGTGACCCTTGGCGTCAACGGGTGGAAGTTCGAGCCACTCACCGTCAATCCACTGATCGGGCCCTCCTCGGAAACCCTCATTGCCTGCGGGGCCCGGGACACGAACCTGATTGTGAACGAGAACCAGTGGTTTCGTCTTTTTACCCCCATGGTCCTGCACGCTGGACTGGTGCACTACTTTGTCAACATGCTGGCGATGTATTTCATTGGCGGGGCCGTCGAAAAGGCGCACGGGGCCGCCTTTACCTCGGTCTTGTTTGTGATTCCGGCTGTGGGGGGGAATATTCTGAGCGCCATTTGCCTCCCGGGGTTTATCAGCGTGGGGGCATCGGGCGGAATCTTTGGCCTGATCGGGGGTTGCATGGCCGACATTTGCCTCAACTGGAACCTGCTCTTTTTGAAAACCACCACGGACGAAGATTCCCGGCTGAGGCACCTTTGCGTCCTGCTGTGGCTTGCAGTGGACATTATCGTCAATTGCATCCTGGGCTTTACCCCATTTGTCGACAACTTTACCCACCTGGGCGGGTTTCTGTACGGCTTTTGCATCGGCTATGCCTCGATCGAGCGGCTGGCCACGGGGTTTTTTGGGATCCGGATCGGGGACTCGCACTGGTCCAGGCTCAAGAGCGTGGGTCTTCGCTATTTCGGGCTGGTCCTGAGCGTGGTGACGATTTTCGCCACGACCATTGTCCTGGCACAGTCGGACGGACTGACGAGTCCCTGCCACCGGTGCCGGTACATCTCCTGTGTTCCCTTTCCGTTTGGTGCCGAGCGGGACAAGTGGTGGCACTGCGACGACTGCGACATTGTGACGGCGGACCTCTTTGTGGCCACGGACGGCTCGGGCCTCTACCAGCAGGTCGACATCCACTGCCCGAACGGCGAGACGGTGGAGGTCCCGATCTGGGACGAGGGCATTTACGACACGGAGGTCCTCCGCAGGAAGCTCCCGTCGTACTGCCGGGGATTTTGTGCCGAGGTCTTTGCGCACTGAGATCAGCGGAGGACGGGCGGGCGGGGACTTGCCAGGGGTTCTGCAACACATACGCACGCACGCACACACACACACAAACACACACACACACAAAACCGATTAACTGTAGAACCGTGTATCTTTCCAATCCAGCCTCTGTGAAACTATGTTTAGTGTTACGAATGAATGCGAAAAAGAGATTGGTCGTATCGTTTTCGGTCCGTATGACCCTCCTTCCTTTGGTGCAACCGGCACACGGCACTATTGTTGCTCCTGCGATGAGGTGKGCTCTGGCTACAGTGCGAACACCGAACAACCTTCCTGTTTGCACCTAGGCTACGAGTGGGGTTGCAACAAGCTCAATTTTTGGGAAATTCGAATGCCAATCCAGCAAAACGGCACTTTTCGAACCGATTGTTTGTTTATTCTGTGTTTGGTAGCACCATTGGGAATTGTTCGAACGGAGCCTTTGTTTGGCATGAGAATGTGAAAACACTGTTTGCAAACCCGATTTCTGGACACACGGTGGCCGAGAGCAATTCCTTTTTCGGGCCATTGTTTGCATTGTGCCAATTTTTATTGTTCTTTTCTTGTACTGTACATGGTACTTGGAAAGAGTGATTATTCTTTCATCTGGCTAGTATTGTTCTGAGAATATTCCTGTATGGTCATCGTCTGTCACTACGAGACAAGCGAAGTAATCTTGATTGGAAGATAAGGATAGATTGCCATGTGCAAATTTATTCTTTGTCAGCTTGACGGACAGAAATGTAAGCAGCATATTTTTGGTGAGTAGACGTTCATTGCCATTCCTTGTTCCCCCTTCAAGATCTATGAACCTTACTACTAGCAAAAGTAGTAAACCAGCATTCCTCTGAATACAAGCATCTTGCTGGTGAGCCTCACCAGTTGCTTTCCAGAGGTGTGCTTCCTCAACACCATCATATTTTGCTTGCTTAACCTACTCCTGCTCAATCATGCATTGACCCTACTAATACTAGTACCACTAGTACACTAGACCCACCACCACCAGGTTTTCTTCATGTTTCCACCATGACATCCACCACCATTGAAGGAAAGGACTGCTGCCTGTGGGCTTCCACTATTTCAAGCTGCTCGTATATGAAGAAACTACTTGTCTTGAGTTTTGTATCTTAAATGATATTAATCCAGGTCACCAGCAGCATCAATACAGATCATTGTTATCCTCCTCTTCTTCTGCTCTGCCAGTAGCAGTGTCATCACTGCTAGTACTACTACTAGTAGTATAGTACTATAAGTCTATTACTACTACTACTGGTACACTTCTGCTTATGATCACCAAGTGGTTTTTGAATCCAAATTCAAATACTAATAGTAKTAGTAGTACTACTAGCTAGTGGAGGAGTTGGCAAATCCACATACTACTAGCTAGTACTACTACCAGTAGTACTACTAGTGGAGGAGTTGCCATCAATGTTAGTAGTAATTGTAGTAGAAGGGGGGGGACTTCATCTGGATTTGGCTTCTCATAATAGTAGTGCTCTGCAATAAGATTCTTAAAGTGATTTTGGTTGAATACTTGAAAATTCAGTCATTATTGATGCAATCAGTCCTCTCAAAATTGAAGAGAACTTGACCCATCCCAATACTTGAATATTCAGTTATGATCATAATTACAGGTCATTCTAAGAAGTTCAAAGCTTGCAACCATATCAAAACATGTTTCAGAAATCCTCTGCCAAATCATCAATCATCAGCTTTCACAAACTCCTTGAGATGTGGTAGGTGCTGTTCTTGAACTAATGATGAAAATGTTGTTACTACTACTACTAGTAGTAGTAGTTCCCTCAATGATCTTCAGGAAGACTGGTTTACAATATGGTGATCATAATTCAATATGATCCAGGTCCAGGTTTTAAAAATGGAAGAACACTAGTACCAAAACCAGCACCCAAAGCACCACCTTGTGATTCAAGAGCAATTACACTTCACCACAACTCAGGTTCAAGTATTACTGAGTGTTCCTCTGTAAATAACAGATCAAACATAACTGAAAAGATAGAAGCAACAAAGAAGTGCCCTGTATTAAATTCCACAAAAAAGTATTAATTCTGTTGTTCAAGAGGCAATGCTATGGTTACACAAAAATCTCATGTAGTAACAAGAAGAAATATGCTTGGAAAATATCACCAGACACTACTATCATCTAAAGTCAAATTTCCAAAATCAAGAAGACCAACTACTACTGAATGAATTTAGCCAAAGTATTCCTGCTTTTATTTTATACTTAGCACATTCTTCATCTGAATGATCAAGAAATAGAGAATCAAAGGGGAATTGGAATTTTTTGCAATAACAAGAAGATCTCAAGACAACAAGAAGCATAAACAATGAGCAACACTTCATCCATTTTCTCTTAAGGACTGATGGAACTCAAAAATCAAAGGTGATTTGTTCTCTTCAGTGTTATTGTGAGATGCTTTGCAAAGCATTGGGAGTGATTTTTCTGATGGGCAGAGAAGGAAGAACCCATCTTTCTGTCACAGACATGATGGCTGGAACAAAAGCACCAGTTAATATCACCAATTGGAGACAAGAGATGAATATTGTCATCTTACCAATAGTGAAAAATGCAATGGTCTGGAACACAATGATACTTGGAAAAAAGAGAATTGTCTTCTTGTTATTGCAAACAAGGAGATATATTTTGCTAGCATAGAGGAACAGTCGGAAGCATTGAAGGAGTATCCCAGCTTCTTATTGTGTGACAAGAAGCCAGCAGCCACCACCATGAAATTTGTATGGCAATCAACCAGCACATGTTTTTTCCCAGGTGACTTCTTCAATCAACTCAAATTAGTAGGAGGAAACTCTCTTATTGCTGGTTGAAACAGGATTTTTAATGTCATAAGAGAGAAAATACCAACAGATTTTCAAACCAAAACAAACCTAAGGTTTAAAGATAACATCAGCCAAGGGAAGCTTCTTGATGATTTAAGAACAGATGTGGCAATACTCATAGAGGATAATTGCTAGTACATAACAGCATAGACCAATAATGCAGACAAATCTGCAATAAATTCAATGGTAATTTTTCTGACAAGTACCTCAAAAGGAACAACTCACTCAGTATTATATGATGATATATGGATATACATGTGATATATATATATGATTGCCAGATCGCACAATTGACTATAATAATCAAAGCTTCTTGTTCAAACCTTAACCTTGAGGTTCATCAGATGCTGATATCATTGCAGTTTGCTGTGGTTCTTGATGAGATGATGCTGATATTATTGCAGCTGGTGCTTGTGATAGCAGTAAAACTATCCAAAAGAATAGTAGATCCAATGCTTTAATAATATGTTGGAAGATCTCATCCTGCTAGTAGTAAGATCCATGATTATGACATAGATGATCAAAAATCTAAATCTTCAATTGTAGTCATTCATATCCTGTACAGTCAAGTCATCTGCTGTACATTAAAGTATGTCAACCTAAAAAATGGGTACTAGGATTCTGAAATTATCACAAATCTTGACAGTGTATTACTAGTAGTAGTAGTAGTAGTAGTAGTATAATATGATGGATAGAACTGCTCCTTGAATAATGTGACTCCAAAAAATGATTCAGCTAAGACTAAATTTCAATGTCCTCAAGAATATGAATAAAAATTATCCACCATACTACTAGTACTAAAACAAGTGACATATGACTCAATTCAAACAACAAATTGGTGATAATATTGCTAGTACTAATGAAAGAACCGTCCACGAGAAGTCAAAGGGAAGATCTTTGAAAAATGTGGTGTTGGGTTCAATCTGGTCTCACACAACTAATCAGATTTATGGTGTTGTGGTGGTGCTCTTTCAATAGTTCTTACTTAGGACTTTCACCTGTAGTGGTCCACTCCTGGGCTGTTTGCAACAAGAACAACAACAGCACCTCGTCTTCTCCTCTCTACTACAACAATAGACAAGAACATCAACAAAAATGGCAGTACCCAGCAGTTTACAGTCCTCACTACTATAGCATCCCCACTAGTAAGCTCTATGTCATCACAAAATAGAAATTCTTCAGCAATGAAATTACCTCTTCAGCAGTAAGAACCACTAACACGAAATATGTAGGGACAGTTTTGGTGTGGAGGGGGGGAGGCGGGAGAGTTAAAAAAAATCGAATCGAATTAGTTTTGTCGAACGAAACGTCTCGGGTGTCTGTCGAGTCGATGTGAACAAAAACCGAGACCCGAATAAATTTTAGAACTTTTATCGTTTGGATTTCAGAACAAATGCCCATAAAGATAACTCGGATAATCATTGCTTAGAACACGTCTCTGTTGAAGACGAGAATCGCACGACTTCCGCCACTTTCACCTGAAATGCATTTCGATGACAAGTTACACTGTGGAGTAGACCGACAAGCATCCAGTACATGCTCACAAACAGAGTTACTACTGTACTATTGAACTATCTAGGTACAAGTTTGGATTTCATAGCTTCAGAACCAAGAATAATTGGGATTTTGCGCTATCAAAAATTAGAGAAACAGCACATAGAACGTAACGAACAGACCTATCAAAGCAAGCGTAGCAAACAAAATAGAGCTTGGCAACCATGAATCAGGAAGAAGAGAAAGAAGAAGTCATTGAGGGGTCGGTTTTCCTTCCAGACCCATCGAAACCTAATTTCGGCATGCGCGCCTCTCGATGGGCCCGCGATATTCCCATGAAGGACGACAAGGGCAAAGCAGACAGCAATGGCGTACCCCCCAATATGGTGTGTATATCGGAAGATCCAGATGAATTGTTCGATGTCACAATTGGATTTTGGCACAGTAGTCAACCGCGACACATGGAACTCGACATCCGAATCCATCGAGCGGCAGACGACAACGCCGACGATGAGGGCAAACGAGATCTTCTCAAGGATTCGGTGTATGTTCTCGACGCTTACATGGGTGGCGACTTTTCTCGCTTTCATTGGTATCATCCCAAACCCAACAGCCTCTGGGCCATGTACGGCACCAGAGTCAATGACTACCTCAATGAGCACTTCTGGAACGGAGAGAGGCACTCGAAAAAGACCCGTGCCCCATTTGCCATCGCAGTGGACGTCAAGGAACGATGGTTTGGATTCGATGCTACGCACTATTTCTTCGACGAAAAGACACACCGGATGACAGGCTCCACGTTTCGCCTCCTCCTAAAGAGGTTCTTGCGTTGGGGGTATACCCTTGGCAAAGCGCAGCTCTTTAAGTTTCAGCCTTTCTTTTTTGTAAACAACCATTCCCAGGACTTGACCAATAGCGATCGAACGGAAGAAAACACCCTTCGCTTTATCAATTGCCAGGCGTCCGTGAGTCTCTGCGCTTTGTGGTGGATGCGCGAGTTCGATGAACTGAGCAAAGAACCGGAGCATGACGCCACCAACACCGATCTGATTTGCGACAAGCTTTCACCGCTGCTCTTCCCCCGGATAAGGATGGAAAACTATGTGAGCGTTTCGCCACTGGAATGGAAAGACGTGAGCAAGGAAGAATCTAGAAAACAAATGGACGAATTCCTTCATGGTGCCGCCGTGAAGCGCGCCCTATCCGACGAGTTCAGCGAGGAAAATGTCACCAAGCTGCTGGTCTTGATCAACAATAGTGCCGGAACCACTGCTCCCACTTTACAAACCATAGAAGGCACAGAAGCTGGCGTCATTGGTGATAGCTCCATACAACAAAACGGCCGGTTTGTTTGCCGGCGGTGAACCAAAAAATCGTATTGCATCAACAACCAACAGCTGTGAAATATTGTACTACTGTATTAGTAAGATTGATGGTGTGATATAGGTTTGGAGAATAATGTTCTTGGTCCCGTTGAGGCAAATGCAAAACGAATGCATTCTGTGCTTCTTCTAGTGTTTCTTTTATTGATCTTAGATTCGTATGCAACATTATTTCGGTATACTTCTGCATTGTTTGTCTTTCTACTTTCCCGCAAGAAAAAGCAGCAGTATTTTGTATGAAGTCAAATACAACGAAGTTTTCCCCGGTGAGCATGATGGTATCCGTCGTTTCACAGTACCCGCCATTACGTTATAGTAGCTTTGACTTCTTCTGCAAAAGACCTCTAACTATGTTGAATTACTGTATATATTTCTTTCGTAGTATTTGATGTAGCACGTTTTCATAGATAGAAGAAGCTACAATTAGAATTATGTAGTACAGAAACTTTTTTCGACCACTCAAGTCGGTAGGTAGGTAGTACCGTATGAGTGGTACGTACGCACGGTATAAAGAGTTGTCTTGGACGATTATTTTCTACTGCACAAGTTACATGGTCGTCACAGCGTTGAGGTGGATGACACGCTTTGGCAACGTGACATTTAGTGGTAAAGCTAGTAGTACCATACGGGCATCCAATTGGTTGACTCCTTTCAGTACGAGTATTTTTGTGAAGTCGGATGGAAATCTTTTTCGTTCGTTTCCTACTCTCTTTTTGTCGTCATTCTCAATCTTTCCGCATCTCGACGACAACTACCGGTACCGTGGCTGAGTAAGTCACAAAAACGAATAAGAATACTGTATAAGCGTTGTCTTTTCGTTCTACTATTGGTTCCGTCTCACTGTATCACATTAGACTGTATGCACCGAAGATAGAATTTGCATCTTGACGTTGAACATTCCGAGTTTGGAAAACAATTAGAATGTCTCACGTCATCGGAATGACTAACCGTATTAGCCTTTGTCTCCAGCTCCTGGTGATTGTATCGGTCGCTACGATTCCCCCGGCTTATTCCTTTACCTCTGCCACCGTGTCTCCGCGATCCAACCACCGGAGTCAGAAGTCTGCTATCGCCATGTCGTCTTCCGACGCCAAACAAGACGTACCCTATGGAGCCTGGGAGTCCCCTATTTCAAGCAAGTCCATCACTGCGGGATCCGTCGGGATMGGTGGACTTCACGTTTCCCCTGACGGAAACGGAGGAGACATCGTGTACTGGACGGAGGGTCGACCCCAAGAGGGCGGCCGCAATGTCCTCTGTCGGTACGATCCCACTTCCGAAGAAAAATCGGAGCGTGACGCCGTTGACGTCACCCCCAAGGACACCAACGTGAGAAGCCGTGTCCACGAGTACGGGGGAGGCGCGGCATTATTTGCCGCTACCACCGAGGGCAGCGACAAGGAAGACACCTTGTTTTTCATCGACTTTGCCTCGCAGCAGCAATTCAAGCTCGCCCTGGACGGCGGGAGCGGCGAAAAAGAAGCCGCTACGACAGATGATACTGGCCGATATCGCTATGCTGACGCCATCTACGACAAGCAACGAAAACTCATCATATGCGTGCGAGAAGACCACGGGGTGGACGGAAAGAGTTCCCCAAAGGAGGTAGTCAACGAGATCGTGGCACTGGATCCCAATGAACCAGCGCGGGAACCAAAGGTGCTGGTGACCGGAACGGACTTTGTCGCTTCCCCTCGATTGTCCCCCGATGGAAATACCCTTGTTTCCATCGTCTGGGACCACCCCAACATGCCCTGGGATGCCACCAAGCTGGTCAGTGTTGCATTGCCGGAGGGAGATCTTTTGTCGTCGTCGACCGAAGTTGGAGAACCCACCGTGATTGCGGGCCAGGATGGCGACACCTCTGTCATGCAACCCCTGTTCCATCCTTCGACGGGGCAATTGTTTTACATCTCGGACGAATCGGGCTATTACAACATGTACATTCAGGACGGTGGTGAAGCGCACTCACTTTTGCCTATGAATGTCGACTTTGGAGGAAGCTCTCCAGGGTGGATGCTGGGCCAGATGGGCTACACGATTTTGAAGGACGGACGGTTGGCGGCGGTGATCAAACGGGACGGATCGTCGGTGTTGATCGTCGCAGACATCTTGAACTACACACCCGGAACCCCGGTCGCGTCTGTTGAATACACGTCGGACGACGGCCTCCCGATGCAATTCGGAGCCGTAAAGGGAGGAACCTCCGAGGACACAAAGGACGTCCTCTATTTCATGGGGGGAGATCCCAGCACACCCGCTAGTGTGTACCGATGGAGCCTAGAAAAGAAATCCGACGCCACCATCTTGGCGACTTCCTCCACCCTCAAGTTCGATGATTCGGTAATTAGCATCCCGCGGCAAATCGAGTTCCCCACGACGCTTGGTACCGCCTTTGGCTATTACTACCCCCCAAAGAATGGAGCCTATCACTGCACAACCGAGTCCGCTCCACCACTTTTGGTCAAGGCTCACGGAGGGTGAGTTTTTTGAAAATGTTTGTGAATTGTTCGAACAGGAATTTTTGTCGTCAGCGTTTCGCAAGGATTGTCTCGCGTTGTGTTCCGCTGGCGATCAAGAAACCATAGATCGGATCTGATGTACTTTTTTCTCTCCAGCCCCACGGGTGCGACAGGCACAATGTTCAATGCGGGCATTCAATACTGGACCTCTCGTGGGTTTGGCATCTTCGACGTCGACTACGGTGGTTCCACCGGTTACGGACGCGACTACCGCCGACGGCTGCGGGGCAGCTGGGGCATCGTCGACATCGACGACGTCTGCAACGGGGCCGAGCACCTCGTGAACGAGGGCCTGGCCGACGGAGACCGTCTGTGCATCGACGGAGGCAGCGCGGGTGGCTACACGACGCTGGGCGCCCTGGCCTTTCGGGACGTCTTCAAGGCGGGTTGCTCGCTCTACGGGATCGGGGACCTGACGGCGCTGGCCGCGGACACGCACAAGTTCGAGTCCCGGTACCTCGACGGACTGATCGGCCGGTACCCGGAGGACGAAGCGGTCTACAAGGAGCGGAGCCCCATCGAAAGCGTCGACAAGCTCTCCTGCCCGATCCTGCTCCTGCAGGGAGAGGAGGACAAGGTCGTTCCGCCCAACCAGGCCGAGATGATGTACGAGGCCCTCAAGCAAAAGGGAATCCCCGCCTGCCTGAAGATCTACGAGGGGGAGCAACACGGATTCCGAAAGGCGGAGAACATCGAGGACGCCCTCGACAGCGAGCTCAGTTTCTTCGGAAAGGTGTTTGGAATCGACGTGCCGGATTCTATTTCGTTGCAGGTCGACAATATGTAAAAAACTAAGAAAATAAAACGTAAAACACATGATTGGCCACAAATGTTGTCTCTGGGATTCACATCGGGTTTGAATAGATGGAATGCTTGTCGGAAGTGACTGCCGCTTCGAACATCGACAGCATGGCTATAATCTAGTCTATGAAAGTCGATTCTCTAATCATGCAGCCCGATGATGGGGTTCCAATGCAAACTGAGTAAGGAAGTTGTCACAGAGAAGCGAATCTGAAAATTTCTGATTACTCTTGGAACCATTGCGACAGCGCGGTTCCTCTTATGGTACATTTATGACAAGGCAGATTTGGTATGATTGCGCTTTTGTTGTACCGGGTGTCCTAAGATATCCAATGGAATCGATTTCTTTCGTTCTCGTATCTTTCAAGTTACGAATGAATGCTGGATCCCGATTTCTTTTTTTAAAAAAATGGAAAGAAATCATCAATGGATACTCCGTCAATCGGCGGCATTATTGCTTCATGTCTTTGTGGCCCATACTGTACCAAACATCCTTGAAAAACAGACGTTCTTGCTTGCTGATTGGTTCCCCAAACGGATTTGTTTTCGTTGTTCTTGTCGTCCCCGCAGTAGATTCGTTGCTCTTTTCGATATGCGGCAAACTCCGCTGGGATTGCAAGAGCTGCTGCTCCGCAAAGGTTCGGCGGAGATCGTCTTTGGTTTCGGGTGGGCATTTTTCGCAGCCCAGGAGGTGGTGGTAAAAGTCCGTGGTGACCTCCCTGGCGAGGGTCCGCCGGTCCTGTGGAAAGATGGCCGCGCCGACCGGGAACGACTCGTCCTCGTTCTGGGTTCCGCCACCGGCACCGGGGCAACCACAGCAATGGACGCAGGCCAGTCCGGCAAGCCCCGTGGGTTTGTTGCGCCCGGACGACGACGTGATGGTTGCGGAGTCCCGCTCCTCCGAATACCTCACCACCCTCGCCTGTTCCAGCAGGCACGAATAGAACGGAAAGCATCCGCCGGCCGAATCCCTTAAGGGGCCGGGTTCCCTTTCGCAGCTCTGTTGGCGTGGTTCGCAACCGGTCAAGAGGGTGTTGCCGACGAGAACCGCGGCCGCGAGGAAAGCCTTTGCCCGGGTGCCCCAACCGGAGGACGGAAGCTGTGGCCACCGCCCCCCCGCCGTGGAAGGATCCGCGCCTCCGGTGGTGGCCGCCGCCGCCGCGGCCGTCGCTTTTTGCCGCGCCACCGCCACGGACACTTGTGCGAACGGACCCGCCAAGGGTGGTGCCTCCGCCGTTGGCACCGAGGAACCGCCGCCGGCCACCGCGCGCCACAAAGGTCGTCGGCGGACCGCCGAGACCAGGGTTCGCCGCGTGCTCCGGGCACCGCCGGTTGTCACCACGGTGGCCATCCGGCCGCTGGAAGGAAAAACCGTGGAGCGAGTACGCAATGCGGGTCTATAGAATCAATGCCAAGGCAACATTGCTGCGGTTGGTTGTGTTGGTGGCAGTACGTGCGGTAGTTGACTAGGTATTTGTTCCCTCCAATTCTGTTTGAATACGGTATGATCTGCTTCTGCGATGATTTTCGTTCCCGATCCATGCCATGTTGCACCTGTGCTTGTGAGGTAATCCCCATACCGCATTCACGAGTAGCTAGTGAATAACCCTGATTTCTGTACCGCGCGAAAATAAACCCGAACCCTAATAAAAGTCTTTGCTGTTGGCACGATACCGCATACTTCCACGTGTAAAGAAGTAGACAGTGGACGCGTGCGTACGTCGTACTCGTACTCCACCCAAAGAAACTCGTGCGGTACTCGTTCCTACCTACCGTCTACCGCGCCTACGGTAGGCATCCAGGAAGGAAGGAAGGAGGAAACAACTGGGAGTTCCGAACAAAACGATCCATCGGCAACAACGGAGAGGACGAGAACCGGAACCCTTGTGCATCGACAAACCGCAATACGGGACGGCAAAATCGACGGGACAAGCCCGACTCCATCTACCTTCGCACACGGCATACTCCAACCCGCAACAAATAATAATAATAACGATCATGGCACGGTGTACGGCGGCATTTGCCCTTCTCTTTCTCTGCTTGGGAACCACGTCATGGGCCTTTACCACGACGAATAGCCCGCTTGCGGCCGTATCGATTGCCCGGACGCGGCGATCGCAGACCCCCCCGGTCGTCGTCCTGGGGGCGGGCGGCTTCGAGTGGGAGGACCCCACCGACGAGCAGTACGACCAGGGCGTCGAAAACCCCTTCAAGAACCCGGAGCTCCTCAAGGCGATGAAAAAGGGCGACGACGAAAGCGGGGACGACGAAAACGCCAAAACCATCGATCCCGCCCGCCTGCTGGGCCCGAGGCTCCAGGGATCCAACCTGTACCTGGTCGGAATGATGGGTTCCGGAAAGTCCAGCGTCGGAGACAAGCTTGCCAGGCGTAAGTCCAGAGCTGGTCACACATTTACTTAGATCGGAAGCCGTGCGAAGCGAACCGGAAGGTTGGCGATGCCGCTGGATTTTGCGCTGTTCTGTGCTGTGTGCTATTGCGCGCTGCGAAGCCCTTTGGTCGATTCGTTTGGTCGTTTCGAATGTTCGGTGAAGCATCGTTCGCATGTGTCGCTATCGACCCGTCGCCGATTTTTGCTGCTCGTGCTTCTTTTTTGTGTTTGTTGCGCACCTCATCTCACATCCACTGCCCCTGTTTGAAACATCACACGCAACGAAACGAAACGCAACGAAACGAAACGAAACGAAACGAAACCAAACCACCACCCGGTTCTCTTCCGCGCCCGCGCAGGAATGGGGTCGTACAAGTTCCTGGACACGGACGAGATCATCGAAAAGGCCACCAAGCTCACCATCAACGAGATCTTCGAGTCGGAGGGCGAGGAGGGCTTCCGGGACGTCGAGTCCCAGGTCCTCGACACGGTCCACGCCTACGTCCGGTGCGTCGTGAGCACCGGCGGCGGCCTGGTGTGCAAGCCCAAGAACTGGGGCAAGCTCCAGACGGGCATCGTCGTCTGGCTCGACGTGGCCCCCGAGGTCATCCTGAAGCGGGTCGAGGGGAACGAGGACCGTCCCCTGCTCAAGACAAAGGACCCCCTGCAGACCCTGAAGGACCTCCTCGAGGAGCGGACCCCCAAGTACAACCAGGCGGACCTCCGCGTCGAGATCACGGAGGACATGGACGAGGACGCGGTCGCCTCCCGGATCGTCCTCGACCTGCACAACTTCATCGACGACAATCCGCCGGCGTGGAAGCTCGCGAAGCAAAAGGCGCAGGAGGAGGGACTGGACTGGGTCCAATGAGAAAGGACAAGAACCGAAGGATAGAACCAAACCAAATTCCCACTGTAAAACAACTACACAAAATGCTGTCATATCTTTACATGCCGTTCCGTCTTTCTAGCTCGCAAAGGAGCAGCACCAGAAACTAAAGGCAATGCAATGCAATCCAATCCAATCCAATCCAATCCAATCCAAATGGATGATTTTGTATGCATTGTATGTAGAACGCAACATCGTACGTTGCGATCTCCAACCACGGCTGCATCGTTTCGCACATGCTAGCGCATGAAGCACGGCTCCTGCTGCCCACAATGCGATCGTGGTGGAATCTGCCAGAGCGGTGGGTCGTTCGAAAAATTTGATTGTAGAGCTATGGAAGCATTCCTCTATTCGATGACTCTTTCCGGTAGAGGTGACAGACACGAGTTATAGATGGAGAATCGTAACAAATAACACTATTGGAACTACAGTACATCGCTGACTCGAAACACGGGCAAATGGGGAGATCGATTTCGGAACCGAAAACAAGCTTTCCAGAAAGAATTGTCACAGTCGAACACGGGCCATTCGAGGAAAAACGAAAACCCGGGTGTGGGTGTGATGGTACGGATCGGAGTCCCAACCAAACCAAACCAAATCGAACCCACCCCTTTTACAACAACAGGTGGAGGGTTCGTTGGTTGGTTGCCTCCTCGGGGTGTCCCCTCGGGCGCGTTTTGGTGCGAACCCGTTTTGCCACAACCACACGCCACAAAGGCAATATTCGGGGTACGAATTATGCTGCAAGCGAAATCGCTGGGCGCGTGCGTGGTGTCGATGCCGGTCCCCTCACAGGAAGGCAGGGGGCGGTTCCACAACCAACCACTCGAACCATCGGGCCGAACACTGCGGTTCGGTTCGTTTCGTTTCGTTTCCCTTTGCGTTGCGTTCCGTTCGCGTCTCGTCTAATCTCACGAGGCCGTCCACCGCATCAGGGGCTGGCTGTTGGGCCCCCGCAGGGGCTCGCCGCTCGGTGCCTTGGCGGTCTGTGTTCGTTTGGCCCTGCCTCCCTTCTGCTTGCGGGCGCGCTGCTCGGCCGCCTCTAGGACCGCGGCCCGCCGCTCCGATTTCGTGGGATCAAGGGCCGGCTCTGGAACGGACGATCCCAGCCGGTGTCCCTGTGTGTGTGTGTGTGTGTGTGTGCGTGCGGCAACGGGCGGGGCAAACGGCGACAAAGGGTTCCGGGAAGGGGTGAGAACGGGGCGAAAGAGAAAAAGACGACGGCGGCGACCGCACCATCACCGGGGCACGAGAGCGAAAGACCGTCAAGAAAAAACGGTGCCCTTTCACGCAACGCAACGCAACAATACTCAACTGAACTCAACTGAACTCAACTCAACTGAACTCAACTCACCGCTCCCGGGAAGGCCTGTTTCGCTTTCGCTTTCGCCCTCGGTTTCGACGATGAGGATTTTGCGGAAGCGCTGCCTTCGGCGACCCCCGCGTTTGAGCTCATGCAAGACCCCATGGCGAGGTTTGGATTGGATTGGATGTCGGTGGAACCGGACGGAACGAATCGAATCGAATCTAATCGAATCGAATCCAATCGAGTTTTGGGTCACCAGTGGGTTTCAAAAGATGAACCAAAACGGCACGAGTGCTCGTATCTTCTACCGGTAGCAGTGTCATGGTGTTCGGACGGATCCTTTTGCAATTGCTGTAGGGAAGTTACGCATGTTGTACCATATAGTACTAAATCTACTGCAGTACATTACTCGTACTCGTACTTCTCGAGAACATCTTCACATCAAGCAAGGAGGCCTTCGAACAACAAGGCAAGGCGTATGGAACGAAAGGTTCGAGGTCACCGTAGAGAGACCTCGTTCAAAAGCTGCCTCGTTGCGCGGTCACGTGCGGTTTTGTCGTGTTTCGAATCGATCGAATCGAATCGATCGAATAAAATCACTGTGAAATCGAATTCCTTCCTTGTGTGTTTTGTTTTGAACATCATTTTTTGTCGATTGATTCCGAACAAGAAACAACCATCCCGAGCACCAAAACACGAACCAACTCTCCCACACCTCGGCTCCACACAGAGACACGACCAAAGACAAGCAGAGCAAAGCCAAGCCAAACAAACCAAAGCACACCCGGACGAGCGAACAAGCCATGCCGGTGGAGGCCGGTTCCGATCCGCGCGGTGCGGACGCATCCCTTGGCACGTCCGCAACCGCGGCGGGCAGCGGGAGGCCCCACCACCACCCTCCCGGCGGAAGCCAAGCGCCGACCGCTCCGCAGGGCCTCCACCACCGCCCCACCGGCGGCCACCCCCCTCCGGAGGCGGGCGGGCCGCCGAGAAGCACAAGCAGCGGCAGCAACACGATCCTCGGGAGGCCGGACCCCCGGCTCTGGGCCACCGTGGCGTGGATGCCCCACGCGAGCCTCTCGCAGACCTCCCACGTTGCCGTCTCGGTCCGGGCCGCCCTGGCCACGGTCCACGGCGGAAGCGTCGGAAGCAGCAGCGGTGACGGCAGCAGCGATGCCCCAACGCTTTCGTGGAGGGTCGGCGTCGCGATCAAGGGCCTGGCCGGCCTGGAGCTGGCCCCGGTGGGCTCCGAGACGGGGTCCGCGCCCCTCCTCCCGCTGGGCCATCTCCGGGGACACCCCTCGGTGACGGGGGCGACCCACGCGTGCGTCTGGGACCGGGGCGGCGGCAGCAGCAGCAACAGCAGCAGCCACAACAACAACAACAACAACAGCACTAGCCACAACAATACTAGCAACTCGAACAGCCACAAGACCAGCGGGGGCCTCCTCCAGGTCCCCCTGCGGTGGAGGGACCTGCCGCGGGACGCCTGCCTGGAATTCACCGTGGCCAGTGGCAACCGCCGCGGGGACGCGAGCTACGAGCCGGCGAGGCTCTCCCTCTTTGACGACTACGGGAGGCTGAGGAGCGGGCTCAACCGGGTCCCGCTGCGCTTTCGTGGGGGCGGACGGAAGCGGGGGGAGCAGCAAAAGCATCAGGAACAGCAACCACCGCCACCACCACCAAAGCAGGGGTGGCAGCGCCACGACGACGATCCGGTCTGGAAGGCGTCGAAAATTCTCGAGCAGCTGGACCGGTTCGAGGACCAGAACAGCAGCGGCAACGGCAATAGTGCGGCGGGGAGCAGAACCACCGCCCCGGGCCGCGGCAGCAAGCGACCGCCGCAACCAGCGTCCACCCAGCAGCAGCAGCAACAGCAGAACCAACAGCAGCACCCCCACCGGCAGCTCCACGCCAAGCCGCACAACCCCCGGCACTACTTTGGCGACGTCCCGAGCGTCCCCTGGCTCGACCGCATGGCCCGGGACCACTGCGAGGAGGTCCTCGAGGAGGCCAGGACGAAGGCGAGGCACCTCGTGGCGTGGCCGCCGCAAACACCGGCTACGGGCAAAGCCGCAGGCGCGAGCGACGAAGCCAGGGACGACGCCCTCGACACGGCGGAGGACCCGCCCCCCGCCTGGCTGGTGGTAGAGATTCCCTCCTTCGACGTCCCGGTCGTCCACGAGGAAACCTTTTACCCGGTCCCGCGCCACGGGCCCTCGGGGTCGGTCCACCCCTCGGAGGTCGCCGAGCACAAGCAGCAGCAACGCGAGCGGCAGCACGCGCCGCCGCCAACCACCTCCCACGAGCCACCCCCCTTCCACCCCCTGGGAGCGGTCCCCTTTCTGGACTACGAGAACGAGAACGACAGCCCCACCGACGACAAGTACCGGACCCTGGCCCACGACCTCCTCCGCGGCCTGGTCGACCCGGCCCTCAAGCCGGACCGGAAGCAGCGGGACAAGCTGGCGGCCATCATCGCCTCGCCCTCCCACCACCCCACCCGGGCCGAGAAGGACCTCCTCTGGCGCTTCCGCTTCTCGCTGGTCGACAACCACCGGGCCCTCGCCAAGTTCCTCCTGGCCGTCGACTGGACGGTCGAGTCGGAGGCCGTGCAGGCCTCGGAGCTCCTGGAGCAGTGGAGGAAGCGGAGCCCGATCGCCGTCACGGACGCCCTCAAGCTCCTCGGCAAGCAGGTGGCCTACCAGACCAACCTGGTGCGGGCCTACGCGATCGACACCCTCGAGGCCGCCCCCGACGAGGAGCTCGGCCTCTACCTCCTCCAGCTGGTCCAGGCCCTCAAGTTCGAGAACAGCCTGCAGCAGCAGCAACAACAAGAAACTACGGCCGAGGCCGGATCCCCCCCGGTCGACTCCGGCCCCAAGAAATCCTCCCTCGCTACCTTTCTCATCGCCCGGGCCAGCAAGAACGTCCTGCTGGCGAACTATTTGTACTGGTACCTCAAGGTCGAGCTGCAGGACCCGGCCCACGGGGCCCGCTACAGGGAAATCTTCGACGGCTTTCGGGCCGTCCTGTCTGCCACCCCGTACCCGAGGGCGCTGGAGGGGGAGGCGGCCCCGGCCTCCCCTTCCCACCCCCGGTTCTCCTCCTCCTCGTCCTCCTCTCTGGCGGCCTCCGCGGGCCCCTCGGCCTCGTCCCTGGTCAACAAGCTCGGCGAGTCGGTGTCCAAGCTCGGCGACAAGCTCCTGAAAACGGACTCGGGCCATCCGAGCGGGAACGGCGCCCCCGGGCAGTCCGGCAGAGCCGGGCAAAGGGCCCGCAGCAGCAGCCGCAGCGTCTGGGAGGTCCTCTCGGACCAGGACCGGTTCATCTCCGGCGTCATGGACGCCCAGATGTCCTATTCCTCCAAGGCCCGGCAGCCGGCCAAGGAGGCCCACCTGCGGTCGGTTCTGGAGGCCGAGGGGTACGCCCCCAGCCACTCCCGGGCCGGCTTTCCGATGCCCTGCGCCCCCGAGATCGTGGTCGACGGGATCCTCCCGGAGACCGCCAGGGTCTTCCGGTCGGCCGTCTACCCGGCCCTGATCGAGTTCCACGCGCTCAGGGTCGTGGACAAGGCCGCCTTTGCGCAAGACCCAAGGCCGTCGAGCAGGTCCGGCAAAAGGGGGGCCGCCCCCCCGCTCCCGAAACCACCGCCGCCGACGCTCAAGCGACCCGGGAGCTACCGCGTCCTCATGAAGACGGGGGACGACCTCCGCCAGGACCAGCTGGTCATGATGATGATCAAGCTCATGGACCGCCTCCTCAAGAGGGCCTCGCTGGACCTCTGCATCACGCCCTACTCGATCATCGCCACCTCCCCGTCCTCCGGGATGATCGAGTTCGTGGAGGACTCGGTCCCCCTCTCGGCCATCCTGGCCAACCACAACAACTCGATCGCGAGGTTCTTCCGGTCGGTCGCCCCACAGGCCGGGGCGAGGCACGGGATCCGGCCGGACGTCCTGTCCAGCTACGTGCGGAGCGTCGCGGGTGAGTTTTTGGATCGATCGGTCGGTCGGTCGGTCGGTCGTTTGTGGCTTCTGCTTGGTTTCGCTTGGCTTGGCGCGGGAACACCGTTTGGGGCAGACGATCTCGAACTCACTCGCTTGGTCTTTTTGCCCGCTTGGTTTTGTCTCTTTTTTCTCTCTCTCTCTTTCCAGGAGGATGCGTTCTCACTTATCTCCTCGGTGTGGGAGACAGGCACCTCGACAACCTCATGATCACCAAAACCGGGAGATTCTTTCACATCGATTTCGGATTTTTGTTCGGAAGGGATCCGAAACCGTTGCCACCGGCCTTTCGGCTGACGCGGGAAATGGTCGAGGGAATGGGGGGCTCCGAGTCCGCGGAATACCGGCAGTTCTGTTCCCTGGCCTGCCAGGCCTTCAACGCCCTCCGCAAGTCGGCCGGCCTGGTCCTGAACCTCCTCCACCTGATGAGCGACGCGGGGATCGAGGACCTCTCGAACAACCCGTCGGCCGACGCGGACGGCGTCATTGCCAAGGTCGAGGAGCGCTTCAAGCTGGACCTGACGGACGAGCAGGCCGAGCGCTTCTTCCTGGGACTCATCCACGAGAGCCAGTCGGCGCTGGCGCCCCGCCTCATGGACGTCTTCCACTCCATTGCGGTGGCGCGGAGGTAGAAGCCGGCACACACGCGCAGCCGTTTGTGCACGGGGCGGGGGCGATGGGAAAAGGGAACGGAAACGCCACCAAACCGATCGAGTATTCGAGTGTATTTGATACGGTGCCGTTCCCTCTGCTACCGAAAAACGTCTTGCGTTTCAGACTATAAGCGAGCGAGCATTCCACGCAAGAAGGTCCGGAGGTCTAAATGCAGAACATGACAATTTGCCCTCTAAGCGGACTAAGAAAAAAGGATAAACAGCCCCAATCTTCCCAGAATATCTTTACCTCGAACGAATTCGGCTTACTTCGTGGTACCTAACTATAGAACGATATTAAAAAAATATTCCACCAATTTGTGTTTCGATAGAAACGTGTATCTATTCTTTCTATGATAGTAGCGTCGTGCTCTGAGAAGGTGACTGACTAGATCAGGTACCGTTGCAGAGGAATTCCGGTCCGGGCCGCAATCTCAAGTGCTTCCTCCTTGGCCAGCGAGCACAGGATTTGGTGGTCTCCCTTGGCAGAGTGCAGATGGCCCGATTCCATGAGGTGCGACAGGTCCCTATACAGGCGGGAAGACCCGAGATCGTCCATGATTGTTTCCAGAGCGGTCTCGTCGTCCGCGCAATCGGCGACGGACGCAGTGTGGGGATTCAACCGCACCAGGGTCACAAAGACGGAAAAGACCCGTTCGAGGGGGATCGACCGCAGCCTCAGCGAGCGGAGTTGCTCCACCTGGTGCAGCGTCCGCACGGTCGTCGAGGAATTGACCGACGTTGATCCAAATGCCAGGTCTTCGTCGTTTCCTCCGTAAATATCTTGCTTGGCCCTAGATTTGGATCGTCGTCCGTTTCCGTGGACCGAAAATATCTTGCGGTCCTGGTCGGCCTTGTTGTGCTGGCATACAAAGGCCGCAAGCAGCAGGCAGCTCCTCAGGTACGGCATATTTTGTTGCTGTAGTGGAGCTTGGCGGTTGGAGGGCATCGCTGTTGTTGTTTCTGGATCCACTATTCCGTTCTCGTCCAGGGCTAGCAGAGTCAGGTTTTCGTCCCCGGATGAGAGGGCCGCAACCCGTTTGTAAAACCTCCTTCCGAGCGTTCTGACCAGCTCCTCCTCGATGGAGGCGTACGACTTCGGGTCTCGGAGGACCCGTTTGCTGAGAGCGGGGATTCCCAGCGTCTCGGCAACCCCCTTCAGAGCAGACCGGAGAGCCGAAGGGGACGAAAGAGGCCCCACAAACACGGGCCATAGGGCACGGCCGATTCTCCGAAAGTCCCGAACGTCGCGTGTGGAATCCAAAACAAACTGGATCACTGTGTTCCAAAAGGATCGGATGAGATTCTCCTTCAGGCTGGGGCGCATCGCCATGGCCGAAGGGGATCCCGACGATGGTGTAAGGGAGTCTCCCATCACCAACCGCCGGTTTTCTTCGGTGCTAAGGACCTCCCGGAATTCCTGGTTCCCTTTGTATGCAGGAAACTGGACTACAACGGGGTGAACCCCATTGGACAGATTGGACAAGCCCTTGGAAAGAGCAGAAGCATGGTTCAAGCCTTTGGATTGATTTGTGTTTGTTTGTCCCGAAGAGAGCGTAAAATAAATTGGGGTTAGTGATTGGGTTTCGGGTATATGGCAGGACAAAACAATCCCTTCGAAAAACGTCACGATACAACGAGATGAAACGAAACAATACAGTTCAAAGCGATTCGTCTACCCATCGATCAAGATCACTCACGCGTAGAGTCCAGGATGGCGTACTTGGTAATCACAACGATGGTTACATTGAGCTTCATGATCTTGGGCAGCAAAAGAAGTTCGGACAAGGCGTTGCTCTGACCTACACCCCCCGTTTCGGTAAGCGTGCCCTTCTTTCCGGCTGCCGACAGCGACAGGAGTTCCTCCGCCCGGTCCAGGACCAGGATCCCGGAGTGTTGGACCTCCCTCGCGAAGGACCGATCGGCGTTGAGGAGATTCCCGCTCTCGTCACAGTAGGGTCCATAGTGTGCCTGGAGGCTCCGACCCAGGGACAACATCGCCGAGTGCATCGTCTCGACGGCGTTTTCGTCAACGTCATCGTCGGCGTCGTCTTCCCCCGGGCGATTCTTTCGCAGCTGCCTCTGTTTTGTCTTGCGAAAGGCATCGTAGGTCGTAGCATTGTTGGCGAGGGTCTTGTGGATGGCGGCTTTTTTGGCCCTCCGCGAGGGGAGTACCCGCGGCTGCGTTTCGACTCCTCCCACTGTCTCCGCGAGCACTTCGTTTTCATTTGGGATTGTCTTGGCACTAGCATTATCGCGGATGCTGTCGATTTCGGTGGTAGTGCTCTCATCTTTGGTCTCGCTGTTGGGTTTCGAAGAATCAACACCGGTGGAATTGGCGGTGTCGCCTAGTAGCGAGGGGGTTCGAGGTGCATTGTTGCTGTTGCTGTCGCCCCTGCGAGCTCCCTTGGTTCGCTTCCGACGCTTTGCCGAGGTGTGGTTGCCGTGCCCACTGGTTCTCTCGCTTCCCGTGCCGTTACCGACCGGCCGGAGCTGCTGGTAGATCGTGTAGACCAGCCGGTCGATGGTCGACGGCTCGACGATGGAGCAATCCACGTAGGCCGGTTGAACTCTCACCTCTGCCCGAGAACACAAAGACGGCGAGGACGACGATGGAGCCGGGCTGCCGGTCCTGGCCAGCCACTCGACCACGTCGCAGACGACGGAAGTCTTTCCGGTGCCGCTGGGCCCGATGCAAAAGATCGGGGCCGGGACGTACGTCGTCGTCGTGTTGCTGTTGATGCTGCTACTGCTCGAGGAAGGCAATCGCTTGTTGTCGGAGGATGCACCCGCATCTGCTGCTATGGTTTTGCGCCTCGTTTCCACCAGGCGGCGGCCGATGGTTGCCGTGAGGGAGATCGTGGATGAGAGGATGGCCGAAAGGGATCGTATCTGGGACTCTCGATGGGGGTATTTTCGATGGAGCATGCGAATGCCACACCCATAGCTTGCAGGCGAGACAGAAGAAGGTCTGTTTGTGGAATCGGCCGTGGCAGCTACGGCCTCCACCAGGTCGTCTCCAAACGAGGATCGAAACAAACGGTGCGTTCCACCCATGACCATCCCGGTGTCGCGGCTGGGGTCGCTCTCGGCTTCGTCCGTGTGATTCGTTTCCCCACCCTTCCCGGCCCCCCGAGTCCGCTTTCGTCCAAAAGGACCTTTTGCGGCAACGAACGGGGCGATCTTGTCCCGGTATTTTTCCCGGAGGGATCCGAGAAAACGCTCGTTTCGGGCAATGTTCCGCGCCTGGCGTTCCATGAGCGTCGGCGATGCCTCGTGGTCAGAGGAAGAGGTCGAGGAGGAAGACGAATAGGACGAAGAGGAAGACGAGAGAACGGTCGATGCATCTGCATCGACGCCTGCATCCGCGCCTTCGTCCATATCTCCGCCTCTGGTTTCGCAGAAAGCTCCCTGCCGAGGTTCATCGTTGCTGGCAGCATTGGTGTCGACATCAGCGTGGATAGAAGAATTTCCTTCGGAATGCATTTCCATCGGTTTCGTTTCGGTCKGTGCATGTTTTGTTTCGCCTTCATCACCGGGAATAAATGGATCGCGATTCGGACTGCCTGCGGTCGTGCTATCGTTGCCCCGGAACTCCATTGGTTTTGTTTCAAGGTTGTTTCGTTTGTTGCACGGTAGTTTGTTGTCGTTCGTGCGATCGATCTCTCGATCCTACCCCATCCGTCCTACCCTTGCGTGGTGCTATGCTCTGATGTCTGATGTATACACCGTTTCTTTCGAGTGCAAGCAATCAGCTTGTATTTTGCGTCGGATGTGCAACAAGAGGCAACGGCTCTGTGTTCTTTGGTGATTGACGGGATACAGTAATTGTGGTGGTGATGGTCGGCTTTACTACGAAGTTCATCTTGCTCTTTCTGCTCGCCCTTTCCTTTGACTACTCTTCGACTCGATTGACCAAAGAAGAATCACCAAATCCTTCCTGCTTTTTGCCGTACATAGTGTACGTAGTACTTGTACTACTACTTCTAGGCATGTTCTGATACTATTAGTAAAACGACCGATCCTAGACTCCCCTCGGAACAAGAAAAAGTAATGCACCGGTCCCTATTGCCTGTGGCAGATCAAAACCTACTGGTTGACTTTTAGAATGACAACAACAATTACAATAATGATTGTCTTCGCAGACTACAAACCTTACAACAGAATGATGCCTTGGGCACCACTGATCATCACTGGAAAAATTGCCCAGGTTGAAACCTACAACCACATATAATTAGGTGTTCTAAACTAGAATGAAGTGGAATGAGTCTATTGATGCGGTGCTTTTGTAGGCAATGAAAACGGTATAATTATAGCGCGTAAGAACCTGATGGAATCATTGCCGGTAAATAATTACTGAAAATTCGAAAAATCCTTTACCAGCAGAAAGAATATTCGGATCTCTTTGTGTCTGGTTCCACTTGATCGATTCCATTCAGCCCCATCAGGTTGTACCGTGTCGCTATTGCTGATTTTGTACTTCTAGAGCTCGCTGATCCGCGGCTCGCTTGGCGCGTTTCTCTTGTTTCTTGGCCTCCTTGTTTGCCCTCCGCTTTTCCTTCCGAATTTTGGCCTTTTCCTCGTACCCCGGTTTCAGCCTGGCGGCCTCCATGATTTTCTCCCGGAGGTTGGCGCATTTCTCGGCCGACTCCGCCCCAAACTTCCAGATCGTTGACAGGTACGTCTGCCGCTTGCGCGGGTCGTAGTCGGACACCTTTTCCATGGCCACGATCCGCCGGCCGAGCTCCGTCGAGAAGGGCTGGTAGCACGTGTGTACGAGCTCGAGACAGTCGTGCCTCGGAAGGTCCCTTTCCTCGTCAAAGTCCCGGAAGGACGGGATGACGTAGACCAGCCGGCCGCCGACCACCAGAGTCCGGGCCGCCACGTCGAGCAGGTCGGACATGACGTCCGAGACGACGTACGGCTTGGTCTGGGCAATGTGGTCGTGCCGGTTCTCCTCCAGGATCGGCCGGGGATTCTCGAGCCTGGATCCGGTCTGGCGGGCCCCCGCCCGAATCCCGTAGGGCGGATCGCACAAGATGGCATCGTAGAGGGTTGGTGCCACGACACTTTCGTCCTCGTCCTCCACAGAGTCGCCTGGAGTGTGGTGCCGAAAATGACGGTGGTAGAGGGCGTTGTCGGTCCGGAGAATCTCCGGCCTCGGGAGCCCGTAGTAGTCAAAATTCTTCCAGATGGTCCTGTCTCCACCCTTCCCGCGCAGCACACGGATGTCGATGTCGGACCCGATGCAGTATGCACCCCGCATGGCGCAGGAGAGCAGGATGCTCCCAGTCCCGACAAAGGGATCGTACACAATCGTGGATGAGGTGACCCTTCCGAGGCTAGTCATGACGAAGGAGAGCTCGGCATCCATACTAGTCGGTCCCAGATAGGGCCGGGTCTTGAGTGAGTAGTGGTCGATGCCACGGGAGCCGTCGCTGCTGCGGGTCCGGCCCCCCAGAACGCGACCGAAATAGTAGGCAATGGCGTCGGTGTTGAACTCACGGTTGGGTTGCGAGGTTTCTGTGCCAGTTGTTGTTGTCGTCTTTTCCGTTTTGGCCCACAGCGGGCTCCCCTTTCCGTCCAGCTGGATCTCGCGGATCAAGAGAAATTCCTGTGCGGTCGGATCCTTCAACCGGACGGGGCCCTCGATGCAATCAAGCGTCTTTCGAAAGGTCTGGCGCATTTTGTCCTGTTCGTCGCGATGGACCTTGGTTCCGAGCGTGTGGATAGTGAATTTCCACGGCTGCTCAGGATTGGCGAAGACCGACGGCCACAGGTGTTCCTTCTGAAAGGAGGGTGCTAGCGGTGAAGGCCGATCGCTGGCACTTTCGATGTTGTTTTGTTTGCGCTGAACCCATTCGAGGGTCCGCGTGGCGCACTCCTCCAGGCTGGACGAGGAATACCCCCACAATTCCACCACCGATTTGACCAGCGTACACTTATAGAGAATGTCGGCAATGGAGAGTTTCGAAGCGGCAGAGGAGGACGACGCCCCGATTTCGATGCGTGGCTCGAACCGGATGTTTTTCCGCTGCTCCTCGGGGGTTTGCAGTGCCAGCCCCGACCACTTTTGGGCATCGGCGATCGGAAAAGACAGGATGACAAAGGCTCGATTCTTCGCCTCGATTTCTAGAGATCCCTCCTCTAGCGGAATCGGTAGAGGGTGCAGCCGACATTTTTCGGAACCCAGGGCGATATCAAATGTTTCCAGAATCGATTCGAGCTCTGCCATCTGAAAATTCAGATGTCGGTAGACGAACTCAACCAGGACCAGATATCGTTCCCCGGTATGTGCCATGTGTTCTTGCCCCCATTCTTGCCGGTTTTGTGATGATTTGCCATTAGAACTTGACGAGGATTCGCCGTGGTCTGTTTCCATCGGCGCCGTTCCCCCAGAGTCGGTTGGCGCCATTCTTGGTGCTATTTTGTACAGTTACTATTTGTATAAATTTGATTCAAAGCTTCATACTACTGATATCTACCAGAATTTTGTATGTCGATAAGTAGAGTAGAAGACGGAAAGACGATAGAACGACTAAGCACATGATCATGGAACAGCATGATACGTGCAATCAATTTTTGTTGCGGGAATTCAGGAATGGTTGTTGCGTTGATGGCGAGGAGGAACTGATGACTGGAAATAAATCCACGACTGGTTCTTAGCGTTTCTTGAGAGCATCTGCACAAGAAGAAAATCGAAAATAAATACTGATGTGTAAACGTACCGGTAGGGTTATGACGTACAATCGGTAGGAAAACGTTCCGTACAACTCATACTATCTGTCTAGGGAATTGGATGGCTCGGCTATTAGACTATATATATACTACAAAGTAATCGTCTTGATGTCATAAGCAAAAGAATGACTTCATTCACCGTGTATGATTCTAAATTCTAAATTAAACGATACGTAGGTTGGTTGATGCCAAAAGATTCTTGTCCATTGCCATGGAATACACAATGTCATTTTCAAATCAGTTCCAAGCGTTGCCGTCGGAATATCTTGGAATAACATTCTGCTTGTTGACGAGTAATACCGAGTGTGGCTTATGTTCTGACAAAGGAATACTACTATCATTTTGCTCATAGCTGTAGGAAGAGGCTTGCTCAGAGTTTTTTTTTCAGGCTGATGATGGAAGATGAAATGGTTGAAATGATTTGAAGATTTCACGATATTATGGCGGTGAATATAATCGCTTCTTTGTCTCGTAACTAAGCGCCATATGCGCTGTTTGCATAAAATTCCACCTTTGTGCGAATGTTTCCATCATCGATTGCGAAATCAGCATCGGCAATTTTTGTCCCCATTCAAACCTGAAATCGCTCTCCATCTGTTAAAACATTAACATTGTGCAATCAGCATCCCAACGAGTAACCGTTTGAAGAACATGCAAACGCATCATGTTTTTCATCCCTCTATTCTAATACCCCCGTGGAATTCTTCGCCACTGCTTCTGTTGCTGTCGCCACTTATGTGGTTGTTTTCGAAACGTCTTCACCGACAAATACGGGTTGCTGTCGTATTTATGGTACCAGAATTTTTGAGGACGCTTACCATAATACTGATTATGTAGTTGCGGCTGGGGATAGCGACGATCGTAAGTTCTGTAACGCGACGGTTGGGGATCGATGTTTCTACCCTTCGAGAAAAAGGACCGCTGCTTGATATTTACCGCTTCGGCTGATCCGTAAAGGAGAGATCCATCCACTGAATCCTCGCTGTGTGGAATCTCGTTCTTTTGCTCCTTGGTTCTAGTGCTCTTAGGCTTTTTCGTTCTGGTTTTAGTGCTCTTTGACTTTTTCTTTTTGGTGCTATTAATCTTTGATTCTTTCGTTTGCTTCTGTTTCTTGTCGTGAACAACAGCACTGGGTACACCCATCGTGTTGTCATGCAACGGGTCTTGAGGTTCAATACCGGTGTAAAAATCATCCTCGCCCAACATTTCGATTGGTTGAAAGTCGTCGTCTCCCGAGGGTTGATCTACAGGTTTGTCATCCTCGAATCCCCCTCCTTTGATTCCATCGTTGTCTTCTTCTTCTCCATTTTTGTAAAAATCGTCGTCGCCCTGAATCTCGATCGGCTGAAAATCGTCGTCGTCCCATGGTCGATCGCTCTTGTCGATAACATCATCTCCTGTGATTTCTGCATTGTCTTCTTTGCTTGGTTCGTTGGTGTCATTGTCGTCGCGAACTGATGGCTCTACGGAGGCGGTTTGAACCGGAGATAACGAGATTGTATTAGTAGGCATTGTGGAGGGGAAATTTGTGCTTGTTATCCATGGAGCAGTCGAAGGTCGCATGGAAGGATTCAACAAGGACGATGAAGAAGGACCGTTCTGATCGTTAGCATCACTGCTGTTGGAGCTGCTGTTGCTAAAGCCAATACTGCTGTTATTCACTTCATCAAGTGCAGAACTATTATTTGTCGAATCAAAAGATGTTTCATTTTTCTTTTCTGTGGTCTCCCCGGGGGAAACAACTACTTCTGTTGTCGTCTCATTGTTGTTTCTGCGGTTCTTAGCTATCAATAAACCCGCAGTAGTCCCAGCCGCAGAAATCAAGACAATAATAAGGATAGCACACCAGATAGCCCTACGGACGAAATACCGCTTTTGCTGTATTGTATCTGCGCCTGCGTCAACTTCTTCCCCAACTGGAGCCGACGGCAGGAGGGCAGTGGCCAGGGCTTCGGGATCCTCCGTAGGGCTACCGCCACTTTTTCTCTTACTGTTCAAATATGATGCATCGGCAGCTACGAGCTCCTGCACCAGCGACACGGTGCCTTTTTTCAAAAAGCTAGCATCGCTAACGGCACTAGCATTCTCATCGAAGCTACTTCCTTTGGCGCTAAAGCGATTCCAAAGGTTGGCACCGGATCCGGTTTTGGCAAAACCTCTGTTGGCTTTGTTGCTTGGTTGTTGTTGCATGGCATCGTCCAAGAAAGTGTTAATTTCGACAACTTTCTCCTGAATGGATCTCGATGGCTCAGAACCGGAAAGAGACGAGGTTTGAGAAGACATATCCTCGTCGTCAACGACGTCATCCAGTTCGTCTTCTCCTTGCGTTTCGGCGAGACTGCGATTGTTGCGGTATCCGCTGGGAATTTCGTACAGGGAAGAAGATGCTGTGCCACCTCCTACTTCTCCTTCCTCCTCCGAAATAGGCAGCATATTGTTATCCGGTGGTAAAAGAGCATCTATGTCCAGTGCAGGCGTGTACATGCGCTGATCGTGCTCGCTATACGAAAATTCGCCGTGGTCGGCAAGAATATCAAATGAAGATTCATTCCGTTCGGCTTCGTCTAGTGCCAAAAGCAAAGCGGCAGGATCATCGTCGCTATCACCATAATATACACCATCGTAATATCGATCCCTATTGATGCCGTTCGTACTGCTACTATTGCCATCGTTTTCATCGCTGTAACCATCGATGCTCCTGCTAACAGTAGTTTCCATGTCATCTTTGTTGGGAGCTGACATGATTGCTTTCCGCTAATGCTAAACCAGATAATTTGCTGGGTTTGGTGTATTTCAATCCACTTCGTTCCATGTTTCTGATCTCTGATCGGTATCTTTCCTCTTTGCGACATGGTACGAGTAGTGGAACAGATCTTCACTCCTTTTTCCCAACAAAATATTATTTTCCTTGACCGAAAACGTACTATCTTCTTTCGTTGTCTGCACGACTCGGAATTTGGGCGCGCCAAAAATTCCTTTTAGAAAAGGGGATGACAATGACTTCAAAATCGGTAGATTTACATCGGGGATGACATTACCAGAAAATAATACAGGACTTCCTTCTTCTTGTAGAGAAATCAGCAATCAGCAAACCCAGTGATAACTTAGCGGAATGGGCTTAGCGAGAACTCGTTGGAAGTGATGGCTACGTACTCTAGACAAGAATCTCACGCAAGTAGCAGGGGCTTTGATGAGAAGCAAAGGGATACTTCACAGGGTTGAAAGTCGTCGTCGCCCGAGGATTGATCTAAAGTCATCCTCAGACCCCCCTGCCTTCACTCCATCATTGTCTTTCTCTTCATCTTCGCCATTTGTGTAGAAATCGTCATCGCCCTGAATCTCGTTTGGCTGAAAATCGTCGTCGTCTCACGGTAGAAACACCCGGAATATTCGAAAGGCTATAAATAAAACACTATGCCTGTTTGGATTCCGGATTCCGAAGAAAGTCACCGGTGCTACTGCTCAGTCGTGACGACTCTATTAGTGGTTTGGTGTTTGCATTACGCTCATGGTGGGTATCTCGCGTGGAGAAGAGATTTCTGGTGTCGGCAAACGAAAGAGGTCGTGTCAAACAAGCAACTACCACCTGCCACCATGTGGGAAAAGAATCGCAAGGCAATCTTGGATGCCGCCGCAATCCACAAAAGAACCTTTGCTTTCTGCAGATCATTGCTCTTGTTCAAAAAAACCAGTGCCCCGCGTTTGAAGAGAAGACTCAGCTACAGCCCTGCTGGAAATATCGAAGAACAAGCATCGATGCTCGATATGGACCACGTTTACATGACTTTCTTTGACGTAAGTGCATTATTAGAGTATAATACACAGCGTGTTCTTTGCAAATGCGTATTTCTGACTTTATTTTCTTTTCTTGAATACTGTCTACGATTACAACAAGTTTTTTTGGTGCTGGATGTTCATTCGACCATGCACAATTCTTTTAGCGATGACAGGTACAATCACTTTCTTCGTACGTGATTTTATCGATAAGATCATGAGACGAGGATCAAAGGAGCGATTAGATCTGGCGAAGGTGGTAGCTAGTCTTGTTCTCGAATCAGGCCTGGCGATACACTATTCTTGTACGACCGATGAATACGAGGCAGCTTTTTTTTACGAAGACTTCCCTTTCGTGGACCAAAACGGAGACCCTCATTGTGCAGATCTGTTTGCGGTCTACATCGACCTGAAAACAAAAACTATGACCAAGGCAAGCATCGATGGCCAGAGTCTCTCTCCATCGCAGGCAATGACACTGTGCGTTTGGATTCTAGTAGGTCCACTGCATGTCAAACTTCACTCTTATGCCAATTGGGCCGTGAACACCAATTCTCTCGTGAAAGACAAACATTCTTTCTATCATAGGAACAGCATCACGACTGTTTTCTATAACTACATGGGCTTTGCTGGTTTTTGTAGCCTTGTCCCTTTCTTCGCAAAATTTGGGTTTGTCCATAAAAATTGGGACAAGCACGCTAATGGAGGCGCATTGATGTACTGCTTTCGCAAAGGCATCGAAAGTGGTGTTTGTCAGCACCCTCACATCAATGAGTTGGTACCGCATTCTCGATCGGTTGCCTTTGTGGTGAGAGCACGCGGGATTTTTTTCTCGGAATTCGAGAAGCACAAGGACCTCTTGCCCGGGGCCGACTGCGAGGCTCTGTTCATTGGCACCGTCCTCCATTCGCTCGACCACTCCAATCTCACCGAGATCGTGGATCCGATCTGGCTGGACAGAGAAGACCCGAGGTACGGCGTGATGGCATCACTCGCTGCAATTGTCCGGTCTGGATTTACATCAGATCTTCCCTGGATTTCGTTTCACAAAAAATTCAAGGGATCGGGGCATCCGTTCTACGAGGCCGTGTACCAGAAGTGCTCAAAGATAGACAAAGCCCATGCCGACAACATGGACTCGTGCATCATCAAGTAGTGGAGTGACGCTTAGTACCTTCACAACGTGCAATCTTTATTGTGCGAAATTGCAATTGTAATTTCGATTTACTAGTAGTGTTACAATTAGTAGCATCTTGTACCGTATTAGCAATACGATGATTCACCCCGAACAAAATAGTAACAGAGACCTTCCCCTCCTCTGTATGGTACGTACATAAGGTACGTATCTGGTACCTGTATCTTGCCGTACTAGTTTTACGAAACACGTCCCCGTAGTTTCTGAACGAATAAAATCCGCCAGATCGAGTCCCGAATCAGCGAAAACGCGCGGTGCTCCTTTCATGCTGTAGGTACGAACTGTACGACGCGCATTCCTACATACATTTTTTACTCGATGAAATCATCCATCCACACCACAGACCACAACGAAAAAAAAAGTGTAATTTATTTTGAAAAAAGGTGTACGGTTCGTGTGGATTCGTGCCTGTACCGGTACGGTAGCTGTCCCATCCACAGCCAAACCGATGAGAAACGCCGACTTGGTACCGTACAATGTACGGCACCGTTCAGTACAATAATACGTACGGTTTTCTCATGATTGGATGGAATCATCCACTACAGCTGATCAGAGCGTTTTGTAGTGAATGATCGATCGAGGCCATAGTGCAGCAAGACCAGGATCGGCTTTCGAATCGATGGCCTTTCAGCACATGTTATAACACTAGCAACAAGAACAACATTCTTGCAAACCAGTCTGCGAAGGAGATCCGAACCTGACGGATAGTGAACAAACAGAATCGAACTTCCATCGAACCGAATCCATCGCACTCAATTTTGATTTTCGAATCGCCCCAGCAGCCCATCGCTCGAACCGCATCGCCATGGCGTTTTCCGCGAAATCTCAGCAGCCCGACAAGAGCAAGGTATTTGCGGAAGACGACGAAGAAATCTGGAAGAAGGTTGTCTCCTTCCAGTCCGTCGAAGGGAACAGCGACAACAAAAACGACACCAGCGAGAACGACGACGGAGGGGATCGGGTCGGCCCCCTTCTCTCGAGCCTGGCCGAGCGCCTGCGAGAGGACTGGCGCAGCACGGATTACTGGAAACGAGACACCGAACCGGGAGCGAGCCCCCCGAATGCGGAAACCTATTGGAAGAGTCTCTCGGCATCGCTGTCCACCCACACAAAGGGCCGATTCGCCTATTCGGACGCTCCCACCAAGGCGGCGGGGGAGGTACCGGCATCCCTTCCGGGAGACGATGCCCTACCCGAGGCCTTTCGAGCCCCCGAGGGCAAGCGACACCTGGAAGCCACGACGGCCCTGTTGGGTCTCCCGCGGGACCGGGCGCTCCAGGTGACCATGGGGGCACTCCGATCGGTGGACACCGCCCGGGGGAACTCCGTTGCACCGACGGCAACAAAACCCACCAGCGAAACCGACGGCGGTAGCGGCAACGACAACTTCTCGTCGCTACTGGGAACCCGCGAGTTGCTGGACAAGACCCTGGAATACCACCACCGGCAGCGATCGGCACGCCTGTCTGTCCTCACGGAGTGCCTCCGGCTCGAACTGGATCCCTCCTATCCCATTCGCGGAATCGTCCAGGCCGAGTTCCTAGATCCCCTAGACCAAGCCTTCCAGACGAGCGGGAGCGGCGGAACTTCCGTTGCCAGGGGACTCTTTAAGAGCCTGTTGATCGTGGCCTGCCGACCGGATCCGGTGGCTTCTCGCGAAGCCTTCGAACCCGCCAAACACCTGACGGATGCCACCTCCAACACCGGGCTTGCTTCCTCTGCCTCCTTTCGAAGCGTTGCCGACCACCGGTTTGCGGAAGAACTCTTCTCCAAGGTGGTGGCCCAGGCGAAGCTGGAACGCACCCAGGCCATGGAGGCCCTCCTGGCGTTGTTCTACGAGCGGATCGACGGGGGAATCTCGCGGGCCGACTACGCCCTCCTGCTGACGGCCTTTTTCTCCTCGGAGGGCTCCAGGGAGGATCGCTGGCAGCAGCTCGCTGGGCTCGTTTGTGCCGGGTGCATGGGTCTGTGGAGGGCCTTTGAGCAGGAGGACAGCGGAGACCAGTGGAAGGCCGGGCACCCGTTCCTGGCAGGTCTCGGGGATCCCAGCAGCGAATGCACAGCGGAGCTCGAGGCACTGGCACTCCTGGTGCTCGAGATTCTGTCCTCGGCAAAACCCGACAGCAGCGAACGCCCCCAATCGCTGGCATTGCTCTCCTACGGCCTCTTGGTGTCGCTGGCGGCAGGCAACGGCGGGGAACCCGCTGCCCTCGCGCTGACGCACGGTGGACCCCTGTCGGAGCTGCTGTGGGGTAATGGCGGAAGCAGCGATGGCAGCGACCCGTCTAGGTCACTCCGGGAGTGCGGAGAGAAGCTGGTGACCCTCGCCAGCGACGAAGCCGGGGCCTTTGATTGCCTCGCGGAAACGATGCGGCGCCTGGCCGGAGAGGCACTCTCGGACACTCCCTCCATTGTAGCTCACGATTCGCTCTACGACTGGCAGTTTGCGTCGTCGGAGCGAGCGTCGAGCAAGAACCCCGTCCTGATGCTCACGGACGACGCGGGAGGGGAGGCAACCGATGCGGTGGCACCGGCCGTCGGCCCGGCGCTGTCGACGACCATATCGGCAGCGGCAAAAGGGGTCAAGAGAATCCCCGCGGACGTTGTGGCCTACACCAGCATCGCGAGGGAGGTCCTCGCCGCATCCATTGCGACCTTTTCCGACTCCCTCCTGGCCATCGACCGGCAGGATTCCTGCCAGAACATCGGGATGCTCTGCCAGCTGGCGGCGATAGTCTTTGGGAACAACGAACCGCTCTGCTCGCAGTTCTGGGAATCCTGGGAATGCTACCTGCCCCTGGCGGCTGCCGGTCCGGCAAACACGCTCGCCTTTCCCATGTGCCGTCTGCTGGATGCCTCGTACAACCTTGCTCGGGAGTACCTGGCCGGTTTTTTCCAGGGAAAGGTTCCGAGGGAGGAGTATTTGCTGGCCGTCGCGCCGTTTTTGGGACTCCTGTCTGCCCTCTGCCACGACCCAAGCATTGCCGAATCCATGGTCGAGATGCTCCCCCAGGCCATGATCCGAATGGCGCTGGTCTGCAGCTTCTGCGATGCTCCGGCCGATGTCGATCCCCTCGAGACCCGCACCGGGGTGTTGGGATCCATCGAGCGATTGACCCGCGTCGCCACTTCCTCCATGTCCTGTCTCGAAAGGCTGAGGATGGCACTCGAGGACACGGAAAGCCTAGCCGTTTCGTCGATGGAAACCGAACAGGGTGGCCATTCGTTCGATGGACCCCGGCTGTTGGCCTCCATTTTGCACGATCCAAAGGACCATCGGATAGCTCGTTCGGTACTGGGAATCATCGCCAATCTGCTGGAGGGAGCTCCAAACGAATGGGCAATCCTCATGGCCGGGCAATTCATCGACCGCAGGAGCGGTTTCCGCAGTACCGACTCGCCCACCTCTCGATTGGTTCCGTTTCTGTCCACCAAAGACGAAGCCCTGTCGCACTCGGCGATCCTGGTCCTGGCGGAGCTGGTGGGCCACCTGAGCCCCTTTGTCTTTTGTGGATCGGAGGCCCTGCGGGATTCTTCTACGATCCTATCGTTCCTGCAGAGCCTCGGGGCGGCATTGTTGACGGCCATGACCGGCCTGGCTACCACGCGGATCTCCACGGCCTCGGTGGAAACCGCCGAGATCGTCTTCCAGTCGTTTGCCGGCTTTCTGGGCGGGATCCGTCCCGTGATTCGGCTGCACGAGTCACCCGAGGTGCGAGAGGGGGCCACACAGATACGGGACTGGCTGGTCCAGACACTGGCCACCAGCAACGGGCTCGGGGAGGTACTGGTGTACTACGCGACCGCTCCGGTCTCCCTTGGGCTCGTCGCCAAGATGGAAGAAACCATCACGGACCAATCCATTGCCGAACAGGTCGCCAAAGACGACGTTTCGGAAAGCGCTAAGAAGTACGGGGCGTGGTATTCCTTTTCTTCCAACTACAAGGGCCAATCCTCCGGTATTGCGCTCTCGAAGTCCCGGGTTTTGGAGTTTCTGTCGGGCATGACCCCCGGCGACTTTGACCTCGAAGGAATCCAGGCCAGGGGATGGGTGAAAGACAGCAATCCGAATGGTGTGGCGACCCTCGATGCCGCTTGGTCTTCCATCCGGTTGCTCTCCGAATGGGCAAGCCACGTGGAAGACATTGCCGAGACACACCTCGAAACACCCTTGTGCACGAAACAAGAATTCCCGCTCGAGGGCGAGGCCAATGACATTATTACCAAGCTGAGCCCGCAGCGATTGCTTTGCACGGCGGCATCGATGCCGATCCTTCCGTATTCCGACAGCAGATTGTCCTCTCTGTGGCAGAGTCTCAACTTGTCGGCCTTTGATTTGTTGCTGCCATATCTGCACCACTCTACGGAAGGAGAGCAAGACCCTAACCTTCCCTTGTCGATTGTTCTGAATCTGTTGAATACTTGCATCGCTCAAGCAACATTCACCCTGCCGAAGGCAAAGATGGCAGATTCTTTGCTCCTGCGAATCTTGGTGCAATCCGCTCGCTTTCCTTCTCTGCTGAAAGATATTGTGGAAAGGGGCATCCGGCTCGCTGGTGAGGGCGACCCGAAACGGCTGGCAGAAACCAACAAGCAGGATTTCTTGAATGCCTTTTTGGGGCTACAGATTCTTTCTTGTTGCGTGGCCTCGGCACCGACCGTCGCAGATGTCGTCTTGAACCTCAAGGAAAGCTCGGGTCTCGTGGACAAGCTCGTCGAGGGGGCCCTTTTTGCACCGGGCGTCCTCGATTTAAGCGGATCGCAAGCCATCTTTTCCACGGAGGGATCGATCCTCCGGATGAGAATGGCTGCGGGTTGCGCAAGCGTGCTTTCCACCCTTTGGAAAAACATTCGTTTTTTGTCCCAAGGTACTGCCTCGGACAAAGAGGGCTCGTCGCTGTGGAAAGAGGTCGACAGGCAATCGGTATTTATTTCGAAGCTGGTGGAGTTTGTTAGCCAATACGCAAACACGGACAACCTCGACAAGAGAATCGATGTTTCCAACGAGACAGAGTTTGCCCGGGTATCGACTATGTCATTCATGACGTCCGCCTTCGAAATTATTACGAACGCGCACGTATACGAATCCTCCAAAGAAGGGCAGGCGACGTCGTCTACAACCGATGTTTTGAAGAAATTCTCGAAATGCCGTCGACTTATCAGAGCCGAAAATTATTCGATGTCTGTTAGGAGCACGAAAGAAATCTGGGAGATTGCAAAGGATGCTGGGTTGAAACAACAAGATCCCGCTGCTCTTCTATCTTCTTTCCCCGCTGTCTCAAGCACTCTGCAACCGAACAATTTCTATCGGAAAGAAAATTCGTTTGATTTGTCTTCTCTGGCAAAGTGGTTGAAATGCATAGGGGGCGCCGAGATGGATGACGATGACTACATCAATGATGCTTTGGATAAGGCATCACTCCTCCATCATTTGACTGCATCGGAATCGAGTCTGATGGAAGCATGGAAGCACTTTTTGGAGATTGCCATTTTCAATGTGTATTATTCGAATGGTTGCGTGATCACCGGTTCGAATATGCAGATTCTCAAAAACATGACGCTAGAAACGCTTTTCAGTCTCAACGATAACCTCGCCTCTGGTGCTGCCGCACAAACCGGATCTTCAACACCATTTATGAGCAGAGAAATTTGTCAGATGTCCAGCTCCCTCGGCGACCTTTTCCTTTTCCAGTTGGAAATTGGAGCGTTTGATCTTCTGCCACTAGACGAGCTCCTAAAGATTGCGACCGCCTTATCCGAGAGCATGAAAAGCCTACAAGATGTTTCCTGTCCAAGACTGACGGGAGAATCGGAGTCGAATCCACTGTTGCAAGTAAGTACATAATAACCGTGCGCATGCAATTCATTTGTAGCAACGTTTACAACTTGAACTAACCTGGTGACAAACTCGCTCTTCCCTATTCAGGAATATTGTACGCAACATCAAACTCTGTTGAGCTGCGCGCTTGTCATTTGTGGCCTCATAGAAAAGCACGAATGCAGTCGCCCAGATCATGGTGAGCAGGGAGACATATATACTTCTTTATGCTTGACGAATTGCACGTTTGTTAGGGCGTTTTCTCAGCTGTGCAACAAGAAAAATATTTCAGCGAAAACAAACACGACGATAATTCGCTCCTGCGCATCGCTATTCACGTTCTTAGTGATAGGATATCAGAGTGATCATTCGAGCGATTCTTCTTACACTAATTTGCTTTCGAAGTCGTTTCATGAGTATGAAGTCTTGAAGCTACTTATGCAATATGCTACATACCTTTCGTCTTTTGTTGAGAAGAATTTGTCCTCATCGAAGAACCAAATTCCATCGGAGGAGGACAGAGATATTCTTGAAGCGATTAAGGCTGTCTTCAACCTCTTGTACGCGATCGCTGATACCAATGATCCCGAAATTATAAGCACTTTGTACGCGGTTGAGTTCTCTCAATTGGCTGTTAGAAACCCTTTGTTCAACCTCCGTGGTCCTTCGTGGTCCCAGCAGGATCAAATGCAGGCGCAACCAAGGGGCTACATCTTCAAGAGAGAGACAGTGATGATATCGAACGAGCAGTCCTCCATTTATGTTGGATCCGAGGATTCGGTTTACGAGATATGGTTGGCATCCATGCAAGTTCTAGGTGCATGTGTCAGAACGTCTTCTCACTATTTGAACAAATCTGGGTCAAACGACCTAAGCACGGGATTCCTCGAAATGGCCATCGAATTTTTGAGGGTACACAGAAGCCCTCTTCTTGCGTGTCTTCAGAGCTGTGTCCAACCCTCAAAAATGACTCGATTGGCTCTGCGCGAAGCCAAGGAATTATTGGCAATGGTAGCGGAGCTCTGCAAACGAAACGTCAGGAAGTCTTTTGTGAGCTCCAATCTCGATCTTTGTGAGGAATTTATCGAACATACAAAGGTTGTAACGACGAGTCTGAGTAAATTCCTCGGGGCCGTAGGAACTTCCTGTGAATTGTTTGCAACCATCGAAGAGTACGAATCCACCGATCAAGATCGTTTCGATGATCTGAAATCGGCTCCCCTGAGTCAACTCCGCCTTTCGCTGTTATCAATAGGGCTTCCCATGGCCAAACAAAAAGCGATGAGACTATCGAACTTCGCGGCCAGTCGCCTCGAGAAAATTTCGCAAGACGATTTTCAAGCAGCCACTGTTGTTCCGGATCATTTCAAATCGTTGTGCCAGAAACGAGTATACGAGTCGGAATCAGAGCGGATCTGTCGACAATCTGTCTCGAACGAATTTTCTCTTGACCTAGTGAAAGCTAGTGCGGAATGTATTTGTCAGGCTCTGTCTTTAGTACTAAGGACTCATGCTATGTCCAAATCCTTTTACGTGTTCTCAGAAGCGGACCGAGCGATTGATGTCATGAACCTGGTGGAACCCGGAATCGTCATCGGATATAGGCCGAACGTTGGGCAAATTATGCTGTTCGGTTCGAGCGGATTTGGGTCTCTTCGATTTGGGAGAGTGTTGTCCGTTGATACGTTTTCACGCACGTGGGAAGTGGTTGTTCTCCGTCAGGAAGGGAACAACGACTACAGCGAGGTGCACGACGGGAGGCGGGAAACCGTTCAGGCGGTCCAACTCGCGGGCATCGAGGACAGGTCGGCACGAAAACCGTCCACTTCGCTGCTGTCGCCGGCACCGGACACGATGGCTTCGTTCGAAAAGGCCCCTGGATTTTTGACGACGGGCAACTACATCATGCTGCTCCGCTGGTGCCACCAGCAAAGCACTCTGTTGCGGGGCGGAGAGGACGCGAGCTCCGAACCCCCACCGTACGTCCGGCAGATTGCCGAGCAGGCGTCGATCCTCCTCGGGGCCGACCTGGTGCTGCACGAGCTGACCGGCAGCTTCGAGCACAAGGACCCCAAGGAGATGGCAATCCTCGACGACCAGCTCTTTGAACTCTTTGCGGACGGGACGGCCCTCGTAGAGAACGCAAAGAACGACAGCGACCTCGAAAACGAGGAACCCAGCGCCGTGTTTTCGTTCCAGGAGGGCCGCCTCAGGGAGGTGATCGATTCCTCGGTGTGGAACGGCCTCCAGGGCCAGGTCCTCCCGTTCGTAAAGCGGGCCTGGAAAGTCCGTAAGGAGACGGAACGAAAGCAAAAGGAAAAACAGATCAGTGCGGGCGGGAGCACGTTTTTCTCCTCCGGATTTCGTCGCACGGGGAAGAGCTCGTTCCGGAGGTGAAGCGAATTCCGCTGCCAGAATCAATGAGTTCCGTCTCTTTTGTCGTTTCCAAGGTTATTGCTGGGATTAAAACCAATAAAAAATCCAGAAGAAACAAACATGTTTCATCAACAAATGCTGTATTCGAAACATTATTTTTTGAAAACGAATCTTTCTATTGTTATGGTAGTGCTTGCGTTTACAACTGCTGGTTTCGTTTTGTGATTCGTTCTTGCTTGGCTTTGCGTAAATTCAAAAACGTAAATCGTTTCTTCTGCTGCTACGCAGGATTCTTTTGCTAGTATCCTTTCTACCTTGTGCGTTGTCGTCCAAGATTGCATTCGTTCCATAGCATTACCCGAATCTCTTCTTTCGTTCCGGTTCGTTTCGGCTCGCTTCGATGATTCAGCCGAGCCCGGCGTTCCACGGGGAAGGGGAGGTCAGGAGCTCGTTCCGTGCCTCGTCGTCGCACACTTCCAGCATGACCCTAAAGCACTTGTCGAGGTCGAAGACGTCCCTCCCGTCCTTGTTGCTCCGCAGAGAGCTCTCCATGTCGATCCACACCCCCTCCGCGAAAGAAAGCGCCAGAGCCGATCCCTCGTTCGCGGCCCTGATCTGGTCGACAACGGCCCCGACGTTGTGGGGGCCGATCCCCCCCGCGTACCCGACGCGGCAGGGCGTGGTGGGGGGGATCGGTGGCCACCCTTCCTTTGGGAGGACGCCCGTCCCCTTGGATTCGTCCAATAGCATGGAAACGTTGGCCGGAAAGGCCCCTTTGTTGTCTTCGAACGCCGCCAGGACGCCCCCCCACAGGGGCTCGGTCTCGTCGTTTTTCTGCAGGATGAACTCGAGCCCGGGGTGCTTTTCGGCGACGGACAAAAATCCCGAGAGGAAATCGCAACCGGTCTCGCCGCTTTCAAAGACGGAGGTGTCCACCCCGTTGACGGCGGTCGCGTTGATCTGGACGCGCCCAAAGCCCCACCTTGGGAGCCTTGCCACGAAGGCGTCGTCTCCCTTCAGGACCTCGTCGACGCGGGTGCCGCAGAGGTGGGCGGCCAGCTTCATCGTGCCCCCGAGGCTCTCGCTCGCTTCCGCCAGCCGACGGACCCATTCCCCGGTAGGGTACCGGGGCTGGCCCTCCTTGTCGGGCCGGAAGAGGACCCCGAACTCGACAAAGGGGTACAGGTGGGCGTATGCGACCAGCTGCTTGGGGTGGACGGAATCGTCGACCCCGCAGAGGCCGACGGCGCGGAGTTTCATGGCTTTGGTGAGATCGGTGCTTGAGGGAAACGGTCGAATCGCGCTGCTACAAAGTGTGTCGTGTCGTGTCGTGTCGTGTCGGTGGGGTTGGCGATATTCCGGTATTGCCTTGCGTTGCGTTGTGTGATTTGGTTTTGGTTTTGTGATGAGCTTTCAAGTCTTTTTTTTTCTCGTGTTGGGAACGGAAGAATGCCATCATCGGCACGACTCTTTCGCATAGCGCCAAGGAAAAGAATCTCGACAGAATGACATCATCGAATGGGAATGATCTGAACGAGACGGAGAGAGAACACGAAAGATATTCGAATTCTCATTGCTCATTTTGAAAATCGAAAATCGATTGATGATTGATTCTTTCATTCACGAGTTCTTGGTCAAAACGACTCCTCCGAACAATTGCGTGCACGACTGGAATCAGACCGGAATGAAGATACACGATTTTCCGACTGCCACAGTGCGTACAGTACCAAGTACTAGTAGTATGATACGTATCCTGTTTGTCTAGTGCAATACTATTAGAAAGATACGATATGCTCTGTAAAACCCCAAGTAATACCGTAGTTCAATTGCTCTGATACAACATATTCTTGTCATCATTACTGAGCATTTTTTCCTATAGCCTCTTCCTCCAGCCAAGGCGACCATAATGAAGGGAATCATTTTATCGAAACCAATTCTAGCTAGATGTGGACTCCTTAGTAGTGTACGATAATACGTGGTTTTCGTAAAGCTGGACGATTTCGGGATGGCTCTATTACAAGGAATTGTTGAGTAGTAAATCGGGCTACTCTGGTTGACTTTGTGGTGTAGGGGTTTCACCATGAGCAGAGGTAAGTCTGCTGTTGCTCATAACCTGCGAAATCTAGGTGGACTCCTTAGTGTACGATAATACCTGGTTTGCAATAAAGAGTCAGCTTATTCACTATCAACTCGTGATTTAGGCTCACACTTAATGAATGAAACAACAATGGGTTTTCTTCTTATCGTGAAATTCTCGGAGTTACAAAATATTTTAGAATGAGTCCTGGACTTTGCCCTGTTTCCATACGGATTCAAACGATCCGAACAGAGCGTTTCCCGACCGTGCAGCAATGCATTGATTGGTTCCATCTCGAAGCATTGTTTTTGCAATCGTCACCGTTGTCAAGATACTAAAACCGAAGCATTTGTCACAAGCTTCTGTACAGCACGGACACTCTGTTCCTTGCTACTTTTTGGTCCTCTTTGGCATCCGTAGCACAACTGCGTATTGGAATTGCGTGCAGAAGGGGAAGGATGGTGGGGTTGGGGGAAGGCATCGCCCAAGGCACCACCCCGCACCGAGCACGTCGTGGCACGGCACGGCACGCCCGGCCGGCCGTTGGCTCGCGCCGCGTCACGGAAGGTATCCCACGGCACGGGCCCACCGGACCAGCTCCGTCTTGGATTCCGTCTCGGTCCGCTCGCACAGGCTCTTGATCAGCCGGTGAACCGCGGCCGTCGTTCCCTCCCCACCGCTCTCGCTCCCGCCGGCCTCCTCCCCCCGGCCCGGCCAGATGGCCCGGGCCATTTCCCGCGGCGTGCTCCCCTCCGAGAGGAGCCGGATCGCCGTTCGCTCGCGCTCGGTCAGGACCACGTCGGTCATCCGCACCGTCGCCGCCGCGTTCTGCGCCACGAGGGCCTTGATGGTTTCGACCTCCCTCTGGAGGGCCCGGAGGTCGTCGGGGTGGGCGTTGCTTCCGCCGGAAGCGTGCCCCCCGGGAAGGGCCGTCGTCGTGGGCTTGAGCCGCTGCTGCCTCCGCCGGATGAGGTTGTCGAGGATGCTCACGAGTTCCTCGGGCGCAAAGGGCTTGGGCACCACCACGTCGGCCCCCGCTTGGTAGCCCCGGATCCGGTCGTCCGTCATGGCCTTGGCCGTCAAAAGGACGATGGGAACGGTCTTGAGTGGGGCCAGAAAGGCGTTTGTGCCCAGATCGGTGCCGGAGGAAGGAGAGGACTCCCCGGCCGACCGCAGGAATTCCACGAGCTCGTAGCCGTTCTTGTCGCTCTCGGGCATCCGAACGTCGCTGACGATCACGTCGGGGAGCCGGGGAGTACCGGCCTCGCTTCCGCGGCTGCTTTCGCTCTTGCGGCCCTGCTTGTTCCGGAGGGCGATCAGGTCCAGGAGGGAACCCGCGTCGGCGCACGCGGTTACCTCGTATCCCCGGTCGTACAAAAAGTCTCCCACGGCGAACCGGATGGATTCCTCGTCGTCCACCAGCACCACCCATTGCTGGTTCCGTCTCTTGAACAAGTCGTCGTTGTTTTTGTTGCCATCCTCGCCGCCGTCACTGCCATTGCTGCTGCTGCCATTGCTGCTGCCAACATCTCCATCGCGTGGCTGGTTCCCGGGGTGCGACGACGCTATCGCGGTTGTTGATCTTTTGGTTGTCGTGCCGTTCGTTCCGGAACGTGTTTTGCGTGCCCCTCGCGGCAGTTCTTCCTGCACACGGAGCAAACGATCCTGCACACTGTTTCGCCACCGGGGTGCTGGATTCGGGAACGAGACAAACGCCGGTGGTGGCGGGCACGGGGCTGCGCTTGCACCCGCGGTTCCTTCCAAAGCCACCAGAGAAATCGTTGTGGCGAATGTTAACGAGAAGCAGACCACAAAACACCACTGGCAAAGGAAGCCACCGCGATCGCGAGTCGAAGGCGGGGCCGTCACCGGGCGATGCGAAGAGGCCCTCATGCCATCGGTATCTCTGTTTTGTCCGCGAGACTGACTCGACCAACAGCAACAGTGAGTTCGGAAGAGGGTCCTGATCAGGGAGCACCAGATAGGAGTACTGGTACTGCTAATCCTAGTACCTGTACTACTGCTACCTACGGTGTCGTACGTACCGAGCACATGAATGTCCTTCGTCCTTGTGCGATCTTTGATCTTGTTCTCGATTTCCAAACGGTACCGAGTACGAGTACGTAAAAACGGTACAGTAATACCCAGAAGCTAATTCTGTTCCCAACGGAACTACACATTTTCAGTCTTCCGCAAAGAACACAGTACTATCGATAAGAAGAACTATTTTCTAGAAATAACTACCAACAAAATTGAATTTTTTTACTACATCTGGTAGTAATCTAGTAGTAACACTTCCCCAGAATCTCAAGCCAATTGGTATTCAAGAAGCGCTCGGAGCTAAGCAATAGTACACAACAAATACAAGCACAACAGGTGGCGTTAGATGCACCCCCACTTCCAGCTCTGAATCCAGAGCGCCAAAATGAGTGGGCTGGGGAGATTCCCAGAAGGGTGTGCTCTTGAATTGCCTGCCCGGATCAGTCCCCCCCGTGTTCGAGCTCCTGCGATTCCTCGTCCTCGAACAGGGGGGACACAACGGGTGGGGTTATATGCACCCCCACTTCCAGCTCGGACCGGTGGGATTGCGAAAAGGGTGTGCTCTTGGATTGCCCTGGTGGCCACCGATCCGTCCCCCCGCGTTCGAGCTCGTGCGATTCCTCGTTCTCGCCCTCGGGCACGCGGTAGTCGTTGTCGTTGTCGCAGTCGTCATCGTGCAAAATGCTCGTTTCGTCTTCCGCTTGGCACGCCATGCACGAGAGGGATCCGTCTTCCACCCCCAGGAGGTCCCGGAGGGTTCCGTCGTCCTCGTCCTCGTCCTCGTCGTCGAAGCTCTCGCTCTCCGTGGGGCCTCCCCCCATCTTCGTCGCCAGCCTGCCGGGCACCGACGACTCGTGGGGGAGCGCCGAAAACACCCACAGCTTGACGGTCCCGTCCTCGGATGCGCTGCAAAAGGCCCCGCCGTGCCCGCTTTCGTGTCCGCTCCCGGCACCGAGGCTCGAGACGGACGTGACCGCCCGGGTGTGCTCCCCGGCGTAGGTTCGGATGCACGAGGCCGAGAGGGCGTCCCAGACCCTCAGCGTGGTGTCCCTCGATCCCGTGAGGACGGTCCAGGCGTCGACGACGTCCACGGCCGTGACCCCCCCCGTGTGGCCCTCCAGGATGCGCAGGCAGGCCCCGGTCGAAGCACTCCAGAGGCGGGCCGTGCAATCCTCCGATCCCGTCACCAGCACCGCCCCCGCGGAGAGGCACCGCACCGACAGTATGGCTCCTGCGTGGCCGATGAACTCCCGGGCGGGGGTGGTGCACACCGAGCCCGCGGCGGGAACAGGTGCAACATGGGTGGCAGCCTGTCCAAACGGGATGGCGACCTCGGCGATGCCACCCGGATTGTGGTGGGGTGGATCGATCTCCCACAACCGCAGGATTCCGTCCGCGGAGGCGGTGGCAAAGTGCTTCGAGTCTTCCAGCGAACACACGGAATGGAGCATGTACGCGGATCGAAAGTTGTTTGCCATCCTGTTTCTCAGCTTGGCAAAGGGAAGGGCTCTTTCCCTCCAAGCGAATGGGCCCACCGTAGGCCCTGGGCCCTGCGGGCAGAAGACGCGGAGGCATCTTCCCGGCCAAAGGTTCCACAACCGCGCCTTGCCACTCTTGTGGCCCGTCACGAAATATTCGTTGTCTGCTGCCAGCAGAGACGCCGGCTCTTGTTTCTCAAAATATTGCTGCCGCCGCATCCCCGAAGCTCGGATGTGCGCAATGCTGGTCACCTCGATGCGCTCGGCACCAAAGGCAACCCCCAGCGTGGGATACGACTTGAGGCAGACCTCGGTGGCGTTGTTCCACAACCGGACGGTTCCGCCGTAGCTTCCGGTCAGAAAGTAAGAGCCCCCGGCGGTCTCGGGTTGCGTGCCATCGGGCCAGCAGCGGAGCAGCTCCCGCTCCGCCAGATGCGAAACCGACTCCAGCACAACAAGGCAAGAGACGGCAGAGGGCGAACGCCCACCAAAGGGGGAGCGCCGGAAGTGGCTATCATCGCCGCCGACCACAAAGGTCCGAAAGCACTTATCATCCCCGGTTCGGTCGGGTGGATTCTCGAGAGTGTCCCAGAGTTTGACGGATCCTTCGTTCCTGGAGGCCGACAGGAAGCAGATTCGTGGGAGCTTGGCTTCCGCTACGATCGACGTCGCTTCCTCTAGAAAGGATTTCCGCGTCCGTTTCCCCCGCCGACGGGGGGACTTGGTTCCGCTCTCCGACCTAGGGGTGGAATCTTTCCCCCCGTCTTCCAAGCGTTCCGGCGACAGCGGCGGCTGCACCACCGTCACACAGGCGACGGAACCGCGGGGGTGTGTCCGGATGCTTTCCTTGCACCACCGCCCCGTTTCGACCACGTCCTCCCGCTCGTCGAACGCCTCGGCCAGCTTGATGAGCGTGTCGTAGAGGCTTGCCACGACATTGATCAGTGCGTAGTTGGTGAGCGTCGTCGACGCTTGGTTTTCTTCCATGCTCCCGTAGTAGTCCTCGATGACGAACGTTAGGACGACCTGGGGAATGTCCTCTACTAGCACGCACACGAAGAGGACGTGCCCCAGGCTGAGCTTGTCATAGCCCAGGAGTTTCAGGAAGGGCGTCGCAAAGGCCCCGTCCGTCGCCAGAATCAGCCACATGAGGGTTCCCAGGATGCAGGACGCTAGAACGCAATCCATTATCCAAGACGGAACGGCCTTGTTTTCGGAAACGCAGTGGGCGTAAAACAACCAGTCCGTCATCACGTCGAAGTCTGCCGCTAGAGAGGCGAGGCACTTGGAGGCCTTGCACCTCTTTCGTTTGGGCCGGGTAGCAGCAGACGCGGAGTTTTTTGGTGTCGGATTGGAACTATGGTCGGGGATGGTTGCTGGGGTATTGGCAGGAGCTGTTTGCCCTTGTGGGTGGTTGTCCTCCCACGGGCCTAAATCCAGCAGGCTGGCGTCGAAAGCACCGCCGGAGGCACCACCACCGAGTCCTTTGTTCTTCCATTTCTTGCGAAGACGTAAACGGGCTCGGCGCCGCTTGTCATCTTCCTGCTTGCGCTGCCGTTCTTCCTGTTTCTTCCAGACGAGTCCGTCGTTCTCGGTGAGCAGGTGCTTGGGGTTTTTCTTAAGGCCGCGGTGCGACGGCAAGAACTGCTCGAACAAGACCGCAAGCACCATGGCACGGTCGTAGTATCGTTGTCCTCTATTGCTTGGTTGCTCGGATATCGCAGTATTAAATTGAGCTGTGTCCCTTTTTGCTCTTCGTTTCTATTGCTCGTTGCAAATCTTTGTTGCGATTGGCGAAGATAGTTTTGTCGTTAGGATATTGAACTACTATCTTGTTGGTATTCAGCAACTACAGTATGTTTGCTGGATACCGGTACAGCAACTGTGCGTAGGCTTCGGTTTAGCCGTACTCGTACGTGTGTGTATCATTTATTTTTTCTACTTCTCAAGGTAATTTCGTCCAGCTCGCGCTATTTTTCAAAGCTCTCGCATAAAATATCGCTCGATACCATCCATTGTCTGAGCGTCATCCCTAATTTGCCGCGCGTTGCCAATAGAGGTCTTTTCTTTCCAATGGAATTGCGAGACATAACGGAAGAATATTCCTTGATGCATCTTATTGTGCCATTTACCATTTACGGTACCGTACCGTAGGTACAGAAAGTACTGGGTTCTTTGCGTCAAATGCCCTTTCCAATATCGTACCTACGGCTGTTTTCTTCGCAAACAGCCTACGTAACGAGTTCCCCGCTAGATTTCCCGGGACCCCCAGGGGTACTAGTATAGGCCGTGTTGGTGGGTTAAGCAGGTGCTACGGGAAAGGACAACCCTAACCTCCCTTACACGTGGAGGGCACCCGCCCTTTAGGGTTAGGGTTAACTCCGGTGGGGGAGTTAGGGGAGCCGCTGTTCCGGAGGCCTGCTGGTCCCCCCACACCGGCCACAGTACTAATACTGTTCCTCTTGGCTACCAATAGGCCAGCGGCCACAGGGAGGGAGCAAAGCGAGGGCGGGAGAGCGGTCAGGGAGTACAGGGCAGGCCGCGGCGAGCCGAGGCGGTTAGCGGCTGGGAGACGTGGGCACGGCAGCTTCGGGGAGGAAGCTGTACGTGCCACTGTTGAACATGAGGCGTGCTAGGGGTTTGAACAGGGGGACGGACTGCTGGTGCAGGTAGCGCATCATGGCATCGCTGTGCCAACGCGCTAGCAGTTTGATGACATTCGAGTCGCATCGCCCTTGGAGGAGGGCCATGGCCCCCCCGGCACGGAGGGAGCGGGCGCTTAGAGCCCGCGGTGATATACCCGTGGAATGGCGCAGTAAGCCAGCATGCCACCTCATGGTGGTGGTAACCATGGAGGCCGTTATTCGTACTATGTCACCATTGGAAGTGCGGTAGCTCGCTAACTTTAGCGAACCATCATAGGGTCCGGTTTCGCGTAAATGCAGGAGCTGACGGGCGGCACAGGGGATCGCCGCTACGCGAATGAGCGATGATGTCCCCTTTAATGCCATTCTTTTGGGTTGTAAAGGTGAGTTGGATCAATGTTGCGGCAGAGATTTCTGCTGAGCTGGCGGAGGAATTGAGTAACCTCCGGGAGCCAATAAAGAAAGCGACGTCGTCGAGGGCAAAGGCTTGATCATCGCTCGTTGTTCCCGTATATTCCCCCGGCCTCAGGCAGAAGAAAAAGGCCAGGCACATCATGTTAGCGACTGCTAGGCGTTCTGGTGTAGGTCGGTGTCGATACGCGAATGTGAGTGCATGAGTGATGACAGTGATCGGAACCGGCTTAACTCTGGTGGGGGGCGACTCGCGGTTCCTGTAACTTCGGAGCTGTGCAGTTAAACGATAATCCAAGCCCCCAAACCTATTTAACCTTGGGTCAGGGGCCCCCAGGCGGGTGAGCACCTGTCCCACTGACCGTATGGCGTCCGATACTGTATGAGCCCTAGCACATCGACCGCTGGGGGAGAGACGCCCGTCACGGTATCGGGCCCCGAAGACTTGGAGGAAGGGGACTGGGTCTGTTGCCGTGTGTAGGAACGGGTCCAGGCCTTGTGACACACAGAACTCAAGCCATCTGTCCCAATGGGCATCCTTTTTCCGGGCATACCCTGCAGTAACACTGGTTCGCATCTCCTGTTGGATAAGGCTAAGGTCAGACTGGAATACATTGGCTTTCTCAGGCGGCATAGTTCCCAAGGCTGCTCCTGTGGGAAAGTGGAATTAAAGTAACGCACAAGCTGTGAGTCAGTGAGATGCCAGGCCCGGGATAGAGTGTCCGCCATCTGGTTGGCGGGGCCTGGGATGTAATCGTGGCGAGGCACGTAGCCAAAGACTCTCTGGTGGAGGGACTGCAGTCTCAGTAGGTAGGCCGGAGGCCCGGTTGTTGTTGCAGCGCCTTTTCGTTGCCAGTGTACCGCTGCAGTGTTATCGTACAGGTTATGAACCGTACGGTGAGTGATGTTTGCTGTCTGTGCAAGCACGTCTAAATGTGCAATGGAGCCTGCCAGCTCTAAATCACTGTTAGTGATAGTTCCCTCTGGATTCTGGAAGCTAACCAGGTCCCGCTGCACCCAGGCTGGGAATGGGGCTCTCCACATGAGAGGCTGTATGGTCCCCTGGGGAGTAGGGACAAAGTGAATGCCGCCCATCCCCACTCCTGCTGCATCACAGGCTCCCATTGTGGCGGGCCACGTGTCAGGGACCAGCTCGGCGATTCGAGTGGGTCGGGAGGACACGTCGTGGGCGATCCAGCGGAAGTCTTCCAGGAAGCCATGGAGCTGCTTGGTTAGCCGTAAGCGGTTCCGGTGGGGTTCCTTATGCCGGAAGGCCTCTTGCAATATCGAGAAAAGCCCCAAGGATCCCGGCAAGGCAATGGACATGGACCGAAGCTCCCCTAGCACCTTGTGCCAGTCCTGGATGGCTACATATTTTTGATTGGGGCCTATATTGCTCAGTATCGCGTTGAGCCGCTCCACGCGATGCGGGGGCAATGATATCGTTTTGGCCTGGGTGTCTAACAGCCAGCCCAATATGACTTTGGTGGTGGCCCATGTGGCGTCCCCTTTCTTAAGCTTCTTGAGGGAGGCCGGCTCTTGTCTGTGTTCAGTATCCCCTTTATCGACGGGTCTGAATACTCGATCTAAGGAGTGGAATAGGGCCCGCTTAACAGCTCGCCGGGTCCACTTATTTCCTTGTACTAAGCCACAGAAATCATCTACGTATATATCCCAGTACCGAAGGGGCTTCCGTGCGGGTGCGGTAGCCGTCACTGGGACCGGCAGTGAACCCCCATCGTAGATGCGGTAGTTTCCCTCCCCTGGTGTCTCCGACACCTCATCTAGGCGGTGGGGGGCTTGCCGCATTTGCTGCATTCCTCCGGGCTTGTTGAGGAGATCATTGGTTAGGTCTGCCACGGTTTCAGTGCAGGCGCTGAAATTGGGAGGTGATGAGCACCAGCCCATGGGATTGGTGAGGGGGATTCCTACCAGCTGGGGCTCCTCTGGTCTTGTGGGGAATAATACAGCTAATCGCATGGTGTCCTCAGGCCGTAGCCACAGCCGATAGAACCCATCTGAGAGGTCTACTTTGGAGAGGTATACAGGGCCAAAGGCTCCATTAGCTCTGTGAATCCTTTGAAGCAGTCTCTTCAGGGTCCTGCCGAATTGCATAGCCTCCATGGGGGCTAGGGGGAGTGTATCGTCATTCACTCCAAAGTAGCTGTAATCGGAGATCATTCGGTCCCTTCTCCCCCGTTGCGGTACTAAACCCAACGGGCTCAGCCGTAGCCCCGGAAGCGAGGTGACTAATGCTGCAGGTAGGACAGTCCACTGTTGCTTGTCCATCATGTCAGCATACTCCTCTCGGAGGAAGTCTATCCCTTTGTGAGAGGACTTATGGGGCCCCCTGGCAAGGGCCCCTGCAATGCGTCCCTCCCCCCACGGGGGTCCTGACATCACAGCTGGGGTTCCTGACCTTTGGAAGCGGCTGAGCAAGTGAGCAGCGGGGTGGGGAATACTCCTTATGTCAGGGTGAAGATCCCCACGTCCCCTCACGGCTCTTATGAAGTCCCCCCAGGAGCGCGCCTTTGTGTAGGCTTGTACTGCGCGTTCTACGTGAGCATCCAAGCGGTCCCGTGGATACGGGTGCTCCAGGAAGCCCCCAGTTTGCTTACTATCCCTCTTGCGGCGGGTAGGCCTTTCGGCTCCGGGAGTCTCGGCTCCCCTGGCTCCCGTCGGGTCCCTTAATCGCTTGGGTCCCTGACGGGGTTCGGTGGGGCCCTCCCGTGAGTCTCGGCTCGCTGAGCAGGGCTTCTTTGTGTCCAGGGAGTCTCGGCTCTCCGGGACAGGGTTCGGATCAACAGGAACGAGCTCCTGTGTGCGGTACTTACCTAGTTCCTTGGTGAGGACCGGCGGCGGCTTCCCTGCTCCTTGGCTGTTGTGGGAGCCGCGTTTAAGTGCTGTGTCTGACATCAACCTCCTCCGTTTCCTTTGGGGTGAGGGCAGTGGCACAGAAGCTGTACTAAGAGGGAGCTGCCTGCCCCCGCCTCATTCCTTATAAGCTTCTTGGCACCAGGCCAGGAAACGATCACTCTCATCTTCGGGTCCTTTGCGGTGATTGTACCGAAGCTCGCAGCTATCGTAGCAGAACCCTTTAGCTCCCCACGAGTGGCACATCTCTTTGCCATCATTCCTCAGGCAAGGCCCCTTGCCTTTCTCCTTCATGATCCCCATGGCTTTGGAGATCTTCCAGTTCTTTATTCGTGAACCCAGCTCCCCCTCCGATGCGGTTATGCGGGGGTCAGGATCCGGGTTCTCCACTCGGGCCTGTGTGGGTGTGCTTCCAGTAGTGTTTCCACGACTGCTCGTAGTGTTACTGTTTCCACTGGCTCCGCGGGATTGGGTCCCCCCGTCAGCCTTGCCACGGGCAAGCGGCCGTAGCGCTGGTACATCACTTACGACTGGGAGCCAGTTTAGGTTCCTCGACAGCTTGAACTGCCTGAACTCAGTGGTGAAGCTGGGGACTTCAACGGGCTGGTCACTCTCCCACTGTTCTTCCAACCAGCAGCGCACTCGCAGCTGGAAATAGTACACAATGATCGGTGGTGCTAGTCGCTCCCCACATTCATCCCTCAGTGCATAGCGGAGGGCTAGCTGCATTCGTCGTAAACGATCTAGCCCTGCACCGTACTGTCTTACCAACGTGTGCTCGACTCCTAGCAGTGTGGCCAACACCGGCAAGTATCCTTCTATCTGGAGGAGGGCTTCTATCCATT